ATCCGTCCGGATAATAAAATATTCAGATAAAAGTCAATTAAAAGTCATATAAAAGTCTCACTAATATATCAGGATAAGGTAGGGGTACAATCCTCAGGAGTTGATCCGTCCGGATGGTTAAAATATTCGTATGTGTGGAGAGACAAAGGGAAAAAACGACAAACAGCCGATAGTGTGATATAGTTTTTTTTTTGGGGTTGCTGTCCTTCATTCTGTTATTTAGCGCTGACTCTTCCTCCCTGTCAGGGATCTTACCTGAAGTGGGAGTCCGGCACGCAGAGTTGAGGCACCCTTTGCAATTCGACACAGACCGAGGGGACTCAGGACAGAAATCCCCAAGGCTGTGACACAGTGCACTGGGGCTGAAATAACCAGTGCTTCCTGGAACGCAGTACAGACAAAGGATATCCAGAAGAGTAGTCAGTATCAGAATCAGAAGTCAGGACGGGCGGCAATCAGGCGAAAACAGTAGACGAGCAGGGGATCAAAAGCAGGAGTCAGATGAACAGCAGTGAAACCAAACAGGAACAGGAAACACGATCTGACAACGAGAACCAGCCTTGCGGGGTTTAAATAGGGAGTCTCAGCCAATCATCAAGGAACCAGGAACAGGTGTGCACATTCCAGGTGAACAGGCTCAGACTACAGGATACCAAGAACAACCAGAAACAGTCAAAGATGCGTGGAGCTCAATGCAAGGATACCAACTGGGATGCAGGAAACTCAGGTTTGATCCCAGCCAGACCCAAATACACAATATTGTGTAAAGCACAATGGCGATCCTAACATTACCCCCCCTTCAAAGACGCCGTAGGCGAGAAGAGGAACGCAACTTACGACCCAGGAGGTTACTTTTTGGATTTCTTGGCTTTGGTGGTACTTGTAGGAGCAGAGGTCATAGCTTGTAGGGCCTTTTCAAATACTTGCAAGTCCTCCTTCCGGACTAGAGTCCCATTAGAGGCATAGGTACAGCCAGAAAGAGGGTCTTCCTTGACAGGACTTGTAGTGGTTGTGGTGCTTGCCTTCTTAGAAGCAGAATCTTTAGTAGAAATAGAGATCTCAGGTTCTTTAGTAACAGATTCCTGCACAACCTCAGGAGCAACGACTGTAGAAGGCTGAGGATTGGACAGAGTGGTCAAGCAAGGACAGGCAGCATGTTGGCAGACAGGTCTCATAGGATATGCCAGAGTAGTACCCAGACGGAGAACCCGAGACCTAGATGGACGAATGGGACAAAAAGATATTAAATGTCCCATCTCCCCACAATAATAACACAGTCCATGCGCCATCCTTCTTGCCCTTTCTTGAGATGACTGACGGAACCTAACCAGTCCAATCTCCATGGGTTCCTCCGCCTCCCTGCCAGATTTATACGATGTTTCGGGAGACTTGGGAGCGGTAGGGTTAGCTGTAACATCAGTCCGAGTGAAAGGAGTAGTGTAGTCCATTTCCAGTCCGGGTTGCAATATGTGTGAAGCAACAGTAGATGATCTATGTACATATGACTTTTGTGTCTTGTTGCATTGTAAACCCAGGGACCGAATAAAGGACTCCCAGGAATCTAGGACTGGGCTTTTGGCGAGTAACAACTGGTGGGCCCAGATCTTAAGGTGCCCCGACAATAAGGTAATCGCTGTCCTCACTTTAATGACGTCTGTGGCATAGGTAAGTGGTCTCAGGGAGAACAGGACCTCGCAATCAACTTTGAAGGTATCATACTTAGACCGGATCCCAGAAAATTTCTCGGGTAGAGCAACCAGCGGTTCAGAGTCATAGGTCCCTTTAAGGGAAGCCAGCTCCTGCTGTAAGCCCTGCAAAGCCTGGGTGAGCTGGGAAACTTGCTGGGTCAAGGCTGCAACGGTAATCTTCAACTCTGCAGACTCCATTTGGTCAGATCGTACTGTCAGGGATCTTACCTGAAGTGGGAGTCCGGCACGCAGAGTTGAGGCACCCTTTGCAATTCGACACAGACCGAGGGGACTCAGGACAGAAATCCCCAAGGCTGTGACACAGTGCACTGGGGCTGAAATAACCAGTGCTTCCTGGAACGCAGTACAGACAAAGGATATCCAGAAGAGTAGTCAGTATCAGAATCAGAAGTCAGGACGGGCGGCAATCAGGCGAAAACAGTAGACGAGCAGGGGATCAAAAGCAGGAGTCAGATGAACAGCAGTGAAACCAAACAGGAACAGGAAACACGATCTGACAACGAGAACCAGCCTTGCGGGGTTTAAATAGGGAGTCTCAGCCAATCATCAAGGAACCAGGAACAGGTGTGCACATTCCAGGTGAACAGGCTCAGACTACAGGATACCAAGAACAACCAGAAACAGTCAAAGATGCGTGGAGCTCAATGCAAGGATACCGACTGGGATGCAGGAAACTCAGGTTTGATCCCAGCCAGACCCAAATACACAATATTGCGTAAAGCACAATGGCGATCCTGACACTCCCCTGTTCTATAATTTAAACAATGCTTGCATATCATGGGTACACTCTTTATTCTGTATTAGAAAATTGCAGGTGTCATTTTCTGTGCTGATCACTTATTTGAATTAAATTAATTTTAACTTCCCAGGTACTGTGGCATGTGTGTGGAAGGAGAGTATGATAAGACCTAATTATTTGCTGCATTGTTTTACACCTTTCAACTGATAATGGGATAGATTTTCTAGTTAAAGTGGGAAATACTTATGGATAAATTGGTATTATCTATCAGTTTTGTTTGTTCTCAAATGATTAGTGTTTGCTTTAGATATACTATATAAAACAAACTGTTATATCTGTAGAATTTACACTATTGAATCAAATATTGAAAATCACCTCTAGCTTGTGTTAACCGTTTTCATGAGATGCTCAGGTTTCTATTCAATATATATTGGTTTTAGTAAATCACATCATAATTTAGTTCAAACCAATAAAAACATTGCAAATTAAAAGTGCTAAAAGAAAGAGTGTTTAATTTCTCCACTTCAATGTATTCTTTCTTTTTGTCAGGTGCAAAAGACAGAACTTACAACAAATATTGTCAGGAAACTCAAATGGAGGCTGGAGTAAACAGGTGGGGATTTCTATTTTTAATTGTATTTTTCACACGTCACAAATACATATTTATGTAATATATACAATAGTTCTTTACAAAGTATTTGTTAAATATGGGGAAAAACAAAAGTAATATTAATAACAATTTAGAATAATTGTCCTTTAACCCCTTAAGGACACATGACATGTGTGACATGTCATGATTCCCTTTTATTCCAGAAGTTTGGTCCTTAAGGGGTTAAAAGCCCCTGCTTCAATGTTTCAGACATAAAGAGATCACAACAATTTCTATTAAGTATCCACAGCATTTGTCTACATGAATGAATCACACTCACCTCAACCACACATTTATTCTAATAAATGGAAGAACTTGTGGACATGCTGATTGTACACGATTGTCTTCCTATCATTTTTATGTGGCCCTTTAAGAGCGTGACCAGGCCCCTCTAATGATGTCAGCCAGTGCTGGGAGTAGGGTGGTCTCATGCAAGTGTATGCTCAGGTCCTACTTGTTTCATGCTAGCTATTTGTTTATGGTACAAGTATTAACAGAAGCAAATTTGGGTGTGACCGGGTGTCTAAAAAAGCTATCTATAACACTTTGCTGGTTTCCCATGGGTCAAACCAAATGCACTCAAATGACCCCATCAACACCCAAGACGAAGCGAGAGAGTCACTCGGCCTCCATCCGAAGTTACCTGCAAACTCCAGGGATCCTCGCTTGCAACATGAGGTTTCACAAATTGCACTATCTTTCCCTAGCTCCTCTCTCTCTCTCGAGACGGCTCTCCGACAGACGCGTGCACTGACGACCCATCTGCCCTGGATTAGTACTCCCTCTTTGCCTTCCTCCCTAAAAAGGAGGACTTACAAACCCTCCTGGAATAAGTAAAACTGACCCTCTAGGCAGTTTTGACCCTATCTAGGCAGAGGTTGCCACTTTATGTACCTCACTGATAACCTTGGAGGGTAGAGTTTCCACAGTAGAGGCCCAGGCCTGGGGTGCACATGTTAAGCCCTGCATGCCCCAGACCTACACACCAGACAACTCACTGATCTGTGGCTCCATGTTGAAGACCAGACAATACGAGCCGCAGGCATAACATCCAGGTGAAATGCTTGCGTGAAATGCAGGACCCCGAAGACATACAAGCTGTGTTGGTGCTGCTCTTTAACTCCATTCTGGGCCGATCACCAGATGCCCTCTGACCAAGGCCACTGCCATCGGCCTCACATACAAGACTTTCAAGTCAAGGACGACATTATGAGTCAGGCGATGGCGGAGAGATTCTGCCAATTTAAAGCTCAGGAAATCGAATTGTACAATGACCTTTCTCACCTCAATTTGCAAGCATGAAGAGCACTAAGACCTGTTACTTCAGCCCTGCAATCCTGACAAAGCAGACTCCCATTTGCACTCATAGCAAAAAAGGCAATTTGGAGGCTACCATTAGAACACCTGCAGATGTCCTTATATTCTTGGAAACCCTGGAGCTCCTTGATGTACAGATGCAAGACTGCTCTGCTTGTCCCCTCAGTGAAAGATTCGCCGACAGAACTGTGAACCATCTGTTCAGCACAGAAGGCAACACCCAAGGAATAGTGATCTGGGATCAAAAGGGACACTACAGAGACAGACCTGAATACTACATTTGCACACAAACTACACTAAACTTAGAGATTATTGACTCACCCCCTTTTTTTATGGACACCTGGGCAGTTTTTACTTGAATTGCCCTTACAATGCTGAAGCAATTATGTATGTGGATACCTACCTTGATATTTATGAGCCTTTCCATCTCTGATACCACAGTGTGCCCGGTCTACATATGCTGCGGATCACACCAAGGAGGAGCTTTGGCGTGCCCAATCCTTTCTCTTTTCTTAGACTCATCTTTTCTCTTGTGTAGTAGAGTAAGGACGACCTTCCCATTTTTTTCACTTGTGTTACAAAGTCCCCTCTGTCTGCCAACATCCCTGTTACTTTTGTTGCTTTTTCCCGAAGAACTGTTGCAGGCCATTTGTTCATACGAATGCACGAACACATGACGGCGGCCATCTTTTGTTTGTCGAACGCCCAGCAGGACCTGGTCGTCAAACACCTGGCACTCTTTTCGGACACTATTCTGCACAAACCCCGCTGGGATTCACCTTGCCCCATCCATTCATGTATAAAACACTGAAGAGCGTGCCGTTCGACACTTTGATACTGCGGAAGATACACCGACTCCTTTCAGGACACTGTGGCCAAAAATACATGGCTTGCTACTTGCCGAACAGCCTTCCAGACAATTTTCATCTCCCTGGCGTTCCCATACTGTTCGTGAGATCTGAGCGCTTTTTTGTGTATCTTGTGCCCTCAGATCCAAGCTGTCTGTGCATGAGTGATAAATAAATCAGTTCTTCTTACCCTCAATTCGCAGCCTCGACTCGTGTTGTAGGGAAATGCTTTATACTATCTCTACCTATAGCTAGCTGGATGTCTTCACACTTTCAGGATTTTTCTTTCTGGATGCTGTTTGGAACTTTGTTATTTCTATCCAAGATCAGGAACCAGGACATCTAAAACAGTCCAAACCTCAGCTAGCCTGGGGCAACCGTAAAACACTTTGTATTTACATTTCTTCAGGACAGTCTATCCCGAACTATCCATGAACCCACAGGTTTACTGCCACTCCCCTGGAGCCAGAGGCAAATGAACCCTTTTTGTAGCTGGCATGGTGACGCCTTTTTCCTTTCTCTTTCCCTTTTTATCTTTCTTTCTCTTGCATCGCCTGTATCTTTCTGTTTCTCTCTACATTCTCCCTTACTTCACCTGTGTATACATCTTTTTGCACTTTTCTACATCATTTTCCCTTTTCCCTTCTCTGGGTGACTGGTCAGTGTGTGCTGCTGAATGCATTACAGTGAACTCAGGCACAGGTGGCCGCCTTAGAGCGAACCGACCTGCAGGAAGGAGGAGCACAGAGCTTCTTCTTCCTGCTGGTCATTCTGTGCCCACCAGGATACAGAGAAATTTCCCAGTGGGTCTCTATTACCTAGGATGGCTGGCACTTACTGTTGGCTTTTAGAAAGCTTGGTGATGCGAGATGTAGGAGAAGCGGGGCGCGCCAGCAACCCTTCGCTCCTCGCAGTGCACAGAGCTAAGGCTGTTAGGGTACATTATGTCACATGCAGCGGCCTTAGCTCTGTAAATGGCTGTAATGATGTATCAAGCTGCATTACTCATCAAATTACCATGGCAGCTGCTACCTAACGACAGTAAGTGAGTCAGAGTAAGTGTGTGTGTGACAGTAAATGTGTTTATGCCTGTGTGTGTCAGCATATGTGTGTCAGTGAGTGTATGTTTGTGTGTCAGACTATATGTCAATGATGAGTGTGTGTATGTCAGTGTGTTTGTGTGTGAGACTGTGTGTTTGTGGGTCAAACTGTGTATCAGTGTTGAGTGTGTGTTTGTGTGTGTCAGTGTGTGTTTGTATGTGTCTGTGTCAGACTGCTTGTCAATGATGACTGTGTGTTAGTGTGTGTCACAGTGCTTGTGTGTCAGATTGTTTGTCAATGGTTCTGTGCTTGTTTGTGTATTAGACTGTGTGTCAATGATGAGTGTATGTTTTTGTATCAGATTGTGTGGCAATTATGAGTGTGTGTCAGGTTGTATGTTTGTGTCACACTGTGTGGCCATGAGTGTGTGTATATTTGTGTGCTTTGATGTGTGTCAGTGATAAGTGTATGTTGGTATGTGTGCATTTGTGTCAGTGTCAATGAGATTGTGTTTTTGTGTTCCCATGTGTCTTTAAAACATCAAGTTTAAAAAAAAAAAAAAAAACAAGTATGTATATGTATATACAACGGTGTGTGTAATTTATTAACATATTTAGTAAAAGCACATATTGATATGTATATATTTTATGTTTAGCATATATATATATATATATATATATATATATATATATATACAAATATTAATATAATACATATACATTTGAGAAACACTCCAACGTTAAAAGCCACTATATGGTTTAAATGTTTGGGGTATTCCTTAATCTCAGTAGGTGCCAGGAGCACCCCAAAATATCTGACAGCGAGTCTTCTCTTACTGCTGCTTTTCTCAACCCCAAGGAGACTGTCAGTGTCACCAGTGTCCCTTCCTTTCTTGGTGAAATTGGCTCACATAGAAACATAGAATGTGATTGCAGATAAGAACCATTCGGCCCATCTAGTCTTCCCAATTTATTAAATACTTTCATTAGTCCGTGGCCTTATCAGGCAAAGACACAATTTTTTGGGTGCGCCAAAATGCATTTTCACCTGTGTATTCATAAATCCTTGCATCTGCCCTGACGGAACTTCGTGTCGTTCCTCAATTCGTTCGGTTTTGTGAATTTTCTCCTCCCATCCACTTTTTTTTTCTTTCTTCTCTCCCTCTACCTTCTCCCTTTTTCTCTTTCTACTGGAAGTTTGCTTCCTCCGCTACCTCTCCTTTATACAATGAAAGTGGCTCGGCTTGACCCATATCTCAATTTGAATAATAATACGAGAGGGTTCAACTCCCTTCAAAAGAGAGCAAGAGCACCACGTGAGTTATCCACTTTGCACATTTCCATGGCTTTTTTTTTCAGGAAACGCACTTTATGTAAAAAAATGCTCCTAGGTTCTCAAACAAATACTATGCATCTGACTAAAGGGGTTGCGATCTTTTTTTCATTGGAGGTTCCATTTTAAAAAGAAGCAGAATTGTCAGATCGTGGGGGTAGATACCTCTTCCTAAAGGGCGTGATCCACAAGTCTTGGTTTACGTTTGCCAATTTATATCTCCCTAACAAGGAACAAAAACCATTTCTAGTAAATGCCCTGAAAGTGCTGGATTCCTTTAGCGAAGGCACCCTCATAATAAGGGGAGATTTAATGCACCACTCTACCTCAGACAAGCTTGATGATACGATTCAAATACCACCAACTGGTCTAACTGATCAAAAGCATACCGAATGTGGTGACTATTAACAGACTGCTCTCCACATTCAAAACATTGTGCACTCACACATCTCCGCCACCACACACAATCTCATTACTATATCACCTACTGATCTCCCCACAGGAAAACCAAAGTCTCCCTTATTTTACTGGGAGAGAGAACTGGGGCACCCCTTAACACCTGAACAGTGGACCAACACCTTCACACTTATACATAAATCCTCTATCTATACAAAGTACCAAGAAACCAATTACAAAATGGTATCCCATTGGTACCAAACCCCAGAGAAACTCACTAAAATACACAACACATGCGCACCGGAGTGTTGGCGATCTGGAAGAGAACTTGGCACTTTGTTCCACATGTGGTGGCCTTGCTCCCTAATCCAACCTTTCTGTAAAGAGGTACACCGTGTTGTAGCCACGCTTACAGACGAATCGATCGACTTTTCTCTGTACACTTGTCTACTACACCTCACCCCCTTACCACCAACTAGCTACATGAAATCGATACTTCCATATCTGATAAACACGGCATGTAGCCTTATGCCGACTTACTGAAAATGAACCTATTAGATATACAGAGATGAAGATATCAGAGGCAAAATGGAGCTGATACTTGCAGCTGTTGGTAAGAGCCAAACTTACCACAAGATTTGGTTCCACTGTCTCCAATGGCTGGCAGCCAGGCAAATGCACCTTGGGCCCAAATCTCTTCGGCCTGATCATATGGAGTTGAGATATGTGAATAAACCTTATGTATCCCATGTCTATGACTTCTAACTGATTCCTTTATTCCTCTGACGGGGAGGCCTTTGGAGGGGTTGGTAGGATGGGGTTGACGAGCCATTCCTTCTTCTTAACCCTGATTTTATCTCTTGTAAACCTGGTTGTGAGACTGGTTATAAGTTGGGGGTGTAGTGTGTGTGTGTTGTATATTATTTGTTTTGGTTTTCTTATTCTCCACTCCCATTCTTTTTTACCTCCCTCCTCCTTGGTCTACTCTCCTTCGTCACTGCTGTTTTCTACCTCCCATTCTTACTAGCTTGCACTCTATTACTAGGTGGATACACCTGCCAAAATGTACCCACTAGGAGAGAGATTTTATTCTCACTGCTCGCCTGTCTGAGAGCAGATATCCCATTTGAAAAATGTAACTGCTTCTTTAATGACTATTACTGTATTATTGTACCTTGTTATCATAGATATGCTAACTCATCTTTTATTGTTTGATGTAACAAAACCCCTCTTTGATTTACAGTAGTTATGGTGATTTTGTCACTTCCTACAGTGATTATGGTGTGGGTCTCCTTCCTAATGCTATTGCATCGAAGTACACATTCCTGGACTTTGTTCTCCCTGCTCTGGCTGGATTTTATTAGGCCCCTGGGTGTATTGCCGTCTAAAAACTCTATTTGTGCCTATTGTATTTTGGAGCACTGTTTCTGCCCCTTTGAATTGTACTTGTACATTTCTGCACTTTTGAAGGGGCACTTCGGATGCAGCCGAAGTGCCGAAGTAGTCTAAGAGGCCGCCATTCAAAATACGAACATGTGGCGGCGGCCATTTTAATTCAGTCGAACGCATTCAGCGGCGTTTGGTCGTCGAGTTCATGGAACTTAAATACGCAACGGCATGAACACCGCTGGACTTCTCCAGACTTCGACACTTCAACTGGAGTCGAACGCTGTTCAACAATTCAAACGGCATTTAACATTGACGGTTTGCACGAACGGTTGCCGTTCGTCTATTTGAATAGAATTTAGCATTGGAAATAGACCGGCCGCACAGCCTAATCCTCTGGAACTGCTTTGGGCATGAAATTGTGCGTGTGGTCGGTCAAATATGACTTCCACAAAACTTTTGAACCCCTGCTCTGGTCTTGATGATTTTCGGATATGTTGTTCACCCAGATCAGGGCTATCCAGGGATGTATAATGTATGGGGGTATGTTTGTGTTTTGGAGTGTTTCTGGACTTAAAAATTTATATTTTCTGCCTGTGGATAATTAGGTTATTTAATTAGCTAACTTAATTATATCACAGGCAGAGGGGAGGGATTGCTGACTGTATGTGGGAGTGTTCCTGTGTTAATTATTGTTCCCATTGGTTTGTGTCCCTTTTGTCCCTGTGTACCATCAGATCCAGGGGGTGTGCTTCTGGCCTGAAAATGTGTATAAAAGAAATGCCTTTGTGCTCATTAAACGAGATCTTCTTACCCTCAACTCACAGCCTCATCTTGTGTTGTAGGGAACAGCTATACCTGCTATATCACTGCTAGCTCTTGTAAGAGCTCTCCCTTTAGCTATACAGCTATACTAGCTCTTCAGGATATCGGGTTGGAACTCTGCAGCGCTCTTCAGCTATGGGAAGAAGGATGTCCAGATGGTAGAAACCCTCACTCTATAGGGGTAACTGTCACATATGGTTTCTCTTATATTTGATACTCAAGAGATGTTCCATGTACGAGATAAGCACCTTTATTTTGATTTATGTTATTAAATACATCAATCTTATGCAAATAACCATTGCCATTGAATTAACAAAAAAGAAGGTGGAACGTGCAGGACACGAGGGAATGAGTTTCTTACCTATACACATCGTCCATTACTATGAGATTTTTTATTGAGGAACTTGCTTATACTTTCATACAAACCTCACATTTCTGCCAGGTTCATAGTTGTTGACCTTTGTGATAAATCATATTGCTGTGAGATTTATTGCTATGGAACTCTGTATTGAAATTATATACACCATATATATATGTGAGTTTTACTGCTGTGGCGCTTTGTGAAACACTCACAGACAAAAATGGACATAGAGATCTCATCTTTAAATGTTGTCTTCAAACATATTTTAGTGATGCATCTTTATCATGAAAAGTAAGACTATAGCAGGTCTTACTAATCCATTTTGGCATACACAACACTTTCCATAGGATTAGGATGACTTTAGATCTATTTGTATCAGCACAGAGTAGCCATATGTTCATTCACTTCGATTATAACAGATACCTAATGGCTTTGTCATGACTCCAAACCTATAGATATAGGGAAGGAATGCTAATACATATCAGTCCATTCACACACAGAACATTTCCTACAAAGGTACCACAATTTATGGGGTTTCGGAAAGACCTCAGTTAGAACCCATGATCACACTTGTACATTGTCCATAAACAATTGCCATGGAATGATGGCAACTGTATTCTATGAGCATCTTGTGGAAATCTCTTGCCTAGAGAGAGAATATCAGATACAAGCAAGAATATGTTAAGGAAGTGAACTGCTCTAAATTGTGTCCACATAATCAGCAATAAACTATTTACCTCTTCAAAAGCTTCAGGATCCAAGCATTGATTTATTGAAAATACATCATGTTCCAAGCACTTGCCGCAGATCTTTGTGTTAGTTTTCATTGGATAAACAACCAGCAAGACCAATTTATATCGAAGTTTTATATGACCAAGAAAGGGTTACCTTTTCTGAGAATAATTGTAGACCCTGAGACAAATGTTACTGTCCTTTGAAGCAAAGGAAACCAATTAATAGTCATAATATACAGGCACAAAATAGGTAAATTGTCTTTTTCTATATTTTTTGTTTTACTAAACGTTGGGATGTCATTAAAAAAAAAAAAAAAAAAAAATATATATATATATATATATATATATATATATGAAAAAAATAAAATTATAGTTTTAGAAAATAAAGCAACAAAGCAGATTTATTTTGAAGAACTGGAACTGAAATTTTAATGAGTCTTCATTTAAACTGTTAGCAAACCAGAAACTAATTAACCTTTTTTCATTATGAGTTCATGGTATCACTGGCGACCATAAATAATGGTTCATTATTGCTGTTCCATTGTTCATTCTCCCCTTTCATAGTTTCTATAACCTGCTGTCTTGCATTAGAACACAACTCAATCTGACATGAGAACACAAGAGGCATATGGTGGTGAATAAAAAAAACAGATTTTTTTGTTTTTTTTCTAATCAAAGGCCATCTGCTGTCAGACTTAGGTTTTTAAAATGTATGATTTGTTAAACTACTTTGCAGACAATGTGATGTTACTGATAAACACAGTGAGTGTGCAGTACATATTGTGCAGAATTTGTGATTTGTGCTCAGTTATTTATTGCCATGGAAACTGTGCCTCCAACTCTACTGACCACTTAGCCCTTTAGACTATCTCGGTGGTGTTCTCCAAGGATAAATCAAAATCTAGCTACGTTGTAGCTGAACATTACGATGTGTTCATTGTTGATGATATTATCATTGTGATCTCTTGACTACATCACCAAAAAGATGCAGCAAATGGCTCTAATCCAAGTCTCGGATTACAGTTATGACATACCCGAACTAAACATAAAATTATCACCTTAAACAAAAACCTTTTTTGCATACATTGAACATTAGAGTTGCAACAGCTCTGCAGGTCATTAACTAATATTTTTACAGTGGTCCAGTCCTTAGAATTTCTCAAAACTAACATTTCAGATAATCCTGTAATAAGAAACATTTTTTTTTAATGTACAAAAGTTACTGTTCCTTGTTCAAACCATAAAAATTCTGTGGATTCTAGCTTGTGACTTGTATAATACATGTTTGCAAGATTAAGATTACATAATTAATCCTTTCTGTGATATTTTATTATGGGGTAGGAGATCTGCCTTGCATTTCAACATCAGTAAACTGTGGCATGGTGTCAGTGCTCTCAGTATTGGGGGTAATAGGAGAAATGACATGTTTAAGTCTTAGGAGCATTGTAAACAGAAGAACTAAAAGAACTGCAAGGAGACCTAAGAATAACCCTACGTACATATACAGATTGGAATATTTGTCTGTAGTCGTGGCTGTGGCTTCTGTAGCGACTGTTGGGAATTGCTGGCTGTAAACAGTTCGGTTTCCACGGTATTTGAAATAGGCTTCAGTCATCTCTTGAGTTAGTTCTGATAAGTTCCTACTTTGCCTGTTTGAGTAGATCAGAATAAAGCTGAGATGTTTCTTGCAAGCTTTGTATGTATGAATGACCAATATATATCTCACACAAGACAAATTAAGGTCACATTTTGATCATATTAAAGCCAAACCACCATGATTCCAGAAATGCAGACATCAGCTACAAAGATGCATCTTCTCCTCACACACAATGTTAAGTGTGAAGATGTCTTTATTCTGAAGAATCCACAAATGTTTTCTATTGAGACTTTTTAATGCTTCTCAGAATTAAGTTCTTGAAGAGTAGCAAGTTGTGCATCATTAGTTTCAGAGAGATTATTGAACCCTTGTTTTGTTGGCTTTATTTAGTACAACTTAAAATGGTTTGTCACCAACTGCCCTCTTTGTCATTGATGTCTCAGTCCTGATAAAAGTGTTTCCCTCCGTACTATTTCTTCTTCGATTTTCATGTTTCTGGAAAGAGAAACAACAAATACTGAATATATAATGACTTTTAAACATTTTGTTATAGTTCATTAAAAATGCCCACACTAGCTCGGGTTTCATACCATTTGACTTTCATGTGCAATGAATGGCACATGCTGAGATTTTTTACAGATGAAGACAACCTGTATTCTCTCAGGAAGACAGCATCGATTGGAGGACACAGTATAGAGAATACTTCCAAAACATGACATTGGAACACATTTCTGGCTCATTTTTTAATTAGAATATGCTTCTTTGTGCACACAATTTTTATTTCTCTCTTTTTTCTATAGTATATTGTATGCTTTAATTTGCTTCTTCCTCTTCATGCTATTTCTGTTTGTTTTCCAGCATTAAGAGTTAGCTATCCTCACAAGGCTAACTGATTCCCATTATCAGCTGGAAAAAAAGACTTGAGAAAGAAGTGGGTGGTTGAGTTACTTATTATTATTTTTCTCTAAATGCTGTTTAGCATCGGCATTTATGGGACAATTAAAGCAAATTAAAACAATAGCACAAACCCCCATACATTCCTACAGTTTGTATTTTCATAGATAAACTGACTGCTAAGCTGCATAGACACAGCATTCACATTGACATCCAAGTCATTGAGAGGAGCAGGACTGGCTGAATGGTATTTTTAATTGTCTTTTTTTTTTTTTAGCAAATTATCACATTTAAACATTTTTTTAGCAGTTCTTCGATGTAAAAGCACATAGGGTATACTAAAATATATCATTTTAAAAAGTCAAATTTCAATAAAATAAGGGCAGCTTTACCCAAGAAAAATAAGGACAGCTTTACCCAAGATCAAGATATTGACTTGCATAAATTCTTTAGTAAAAAAAAAACCCACTGAGGATAAATGGAATATCTTCAAACAAATACTAGAAAAGTAAATTTCTTAGTATGTACCATTGTGTAATAAAAATAAAGGAAACAAATTGAAACCAATGTGGCATAGTGGGAAAGTAAACAAAGATATTCAAAATAAGAAAAAGGCATTCAAAGCATTTAGATCGGCCAATCAGAGGCATTGTATATAAGATATAAGCAAGCCAATAGTGCATGCAAAAAGGCAATTTGATGTGCTAAACTAGAAAATGAAAAATTAATAGCCAGAGAGAGCAAAACTAACACCAAAACATTTGTAAGAACACACATTCTAAAAAAACAAACATGAAAATGTAGGTACAATGAAAACAGAGATGATTGTGTTAGTTAATGAAGACCAGGAAAGGGCAGACATTTCAAATAACTATTTTTACTCAGTATATATTAAGGAGGATTATATGGCAAGAGATATGCAAGTGATTGCATTCTGGGGTCAAGCATGCACAAACAAGCACAGGCAGAATTAGGGATAACACATGAGAAGAATTTGGGAATTGTCATAGACAACATAATAGGCAACAATATGCAATGTCAATCGGCAGTCTCTAAGGCGAATAAGATATTATCATGTATAAATAGGGTCATTCATTCTCAAAAGAAAATATAATTTTGCCTCTTTATAGATCACTGGTAAGACCACACTGTGACAAATGCTCCTTCCCACGTACGTTTGCCACGGACTCCTGGAGGAGTGTAGAAGCCGGCCTTCTGCCCACCGACTATGGTATTATTTGTGGGGTCATTTTATGTTTTTATTATGTTTTTGGGTATTTTTATGTTTGTTTGCCTCTCTGTTCCTGGGAAATAATTAGCTTACCAGTCTTCAACGCAATTATTTCCCTGGCCCAGAGATTCCTAGGTGGGGCTTTTGATGAAGACAATGGAGACCTCCTGCTGGGTTCTGTGTATAAAAAGGCTGTGTTTGGATGCATTAAACCAGTTGTACTCCCAGAGCTATGTGTAGTCTAGTTACTGGGAGGGGAAGGGCTATAATCACTGCTTAACACCTTGTTCCATCTCATGGAGCATTCGGCGGGAAAAGTCCTTGTAAGGACTAGAGTTCCCAGGACTGTGTGTCATCCAGTCCCTGGGAGGGAATAGAGTTAGTACCCTATCCTGCTCCAGGACAAAGAGGCTCCAGGAGGACCCAGTTAAGCCACGGGAATTGGGGGAGCAGCGCTGAGGTTTTCCCCTGTTCCAGATAGGAAGTGGTCCTTGGCGGAGGTACCCAGCCAGGGTACAGAGAGCTCTGCTACACACACCTTTAATATGCTGTGCAATTTTAGGCAAATGTTCTAAAGAAGGATATTATGGCGCTAGAGAAAGTGCAAAGGTGGGCTATAAAATTGATAAAAGGAATCAAACATTTTAGTTATGAAGAAGGTTAACAAATTTAAATCTCTTTAGTTTGGTAAAACGGTGCCTCGGAGCAGTTATGGAAACATTATACAAATATGTTCTGGGCCAACACAAACCATTGTATGGAAATGTGTTCATAAACAGGACGATAAATAGGACACATGGTCACTCAGTATGGAAGAAAGGAGATTTAGTCTAAGGCAGAGAAAATATTCTCTGTCTGAAGAGGTGGAATTCTCTGTCTGAAGAGGTGGTTTTATCAGAGTCTATATAGATGATTAGACAGCAATTGGATAAATACTTGCAAAAGCATAACATACAGGGATATAACTTTTTATTAGTGGGGTAATAGCTTATTGATCCAAGGAAATATCAAACTGTCACTACATGGTCAAAAAGGATCGTTTTTGCAAGTTTGTTGCAAACTTGGAAGTTCTTCAGACTGTGTTTTTTTGCATTCTTTTGACCAACAGCAAATACAGATGTGAGATGGCTGAACTTGATGGACGCATGTCTTTTTTTCAGCTATGTAACTATGTAAAATTATATAACTTGCTTTCACATTCTATAGCTGTTTCTAAACTAATCACATACCTGCAGTAGACATGTAGAAGCAGTGAGAATTCTATTTCTCTGGTATACATTTCATCCAAACAAGGAAGAATTTAAGAAAGAACTAATAGTCAGTGGGCTTATTTCCATGCCTAAAACAAGAAAAAAGAGCAAAACATAAAGGGCACAAACCATCGTGGCCCCCCACAAAGACCACACTATACTAATACCAACCAATACCGCCCATTTCCCCAACGGATAATAACTCATACAGAACTCATCACAAAACCCCATTATCACCAACATATCACAACATATCAGGACTCCAAAACAAATACCTATCCCCTAAACCACAAAGATCAAGATATATCAATGATCACAAAGAATATTCTAATTACTTCAAATCACCAACGATTCCTAATCACCAAAATAGATATCAACTACTATCACTAGACTCAGAATTCGAAAATGAAGATCATTTTTTAGAAATCAGAACTCACCCCACTACACTAGTCCAGACACCACACCCCTCACGGTCACAAAAAAGGATTCTAAATTTAGAGGAAGAAGAAGTGGCAGACGTGAGCAAAAGAGAAAGACTAGAAAGATAATAACTACTCAATATAACACTAACAGTGGCATTTTTAACCTTTCACAAAAAATCTTAACTAGTGCACAAATATCAGTTTTAAGTAAAGGTCTTAAATTTGTTCCAACTAACTCTTTTAAACCTTTTGAAGCCTTCCTTGATGTTAATAAATTTGTCCGGAAAGCCACTCTTAAAAGATTTTTTATAGACAAAAGTGAAGAAAATCCTATTTCAAATCAGATTTTATCCCCTCACACACTCCCAAACAATCATCACATAATTAATACACACCTCCGAGAGAAATCCACATTTTACCCTGCTCATTTTAAGTCTGCCCCCCTCACTATGTTCAGAATCTCACACATACAGAGAGATTGGCACTAAAGGAACCCCAAGAAGATAAAAAATATTGTAATCAAGCCAGCTGATAAAGGAGGAGGAATAGTTATACAATCCAGCCAGTTGTATATAGAAGAGGCACACAGACAATTAAATGAAACAGATGTGTATGAAAACATCTTTTATCAGACCCAGCATCACAAATACAAGCAATTTTAACCCAATTTTTAAATAAAGGCTTAAATCTGGGGATTTTAAATAAACCCGAATTTAACTTTTTAAATAAAAAATTTCCTGTAATACCCGTCATATATTTTCTCCCTAAAATCCATAAAAATTAAAACCTACCACCAGGGAGACCAATTGTGTTTGGCATAGGTTTCCTCCTATGTAATCTCTCTCAAAACATAGACACCCTCCTTCAACCCTCTGTTAAACTTATGAGATCTTACCTTCAAGACTCCATGGCTCTCTTAAAATGTTTAAACAATTTTATATGGAAACCCAATTTTATATTAGTCACATGTGACGTCCAGTCACTATATACAATTATACCTCATAATATAGGTTGTCAATCTATTAAAGATATTTTAACAAAAGAAGGAAAAATTTCCAGCATACAAATTGATTTTACATTAGAAGGTATTAACATCATTTTAGAAAATAATTATTTTTGTTTTTTAAATTCTTTCTATCTCCAATAAAGAGGGAATGCTATGGGAACTAGGTTTGCTCCCAGCTACGCCAATCTATTTATGGCTGACTGGGAGTCTGAAGCTATTTTTAACAACCACGTCTGGAGAGCAAACCTAGTCTCATTTTTTAGATTTATTGATGATCTTTTTTTATTTGGGAAGGCTCTGAAGATGATCTTAATTCTTTTATTAACAATCTTAATATAAATAACAGAGGTATCACTTTAACTTACGAATATAGCAGGGAACAAATCAACTTCTTAGATCTTAATATTTTTATAAAAAATGGACAAATACATACTAAGACGTTTTTAAAAAAAAGTATGTGTGAACACTGCTATAGATAAAACTAGCTGCCACTATCAACCCTGGCTTGACAGTGCTCTGAAGAGCCAAATATTAAGACTTCTGAGAAACTGTTCAGAAATAAGCAATTTTAATAAACAAGCAGACTTTTTAAAAAACAAATTCATTGAGAAGAACTACCCTGAAATAGAACTCACAGATACTATTAGGAATATCCAAAAAAAGATAGAAACAAACTTTTAAAATACAAACCAAAAAATACAGACAAATCCATGCCTTTACCTATTATTTTTAATTATAATTTTTTTTTAATTTTTTATAAAGATTATAAAAAAACACTGGCATATTCTGAAACAAGACGAAACACTTAATAAAATTATACCAGAACGTCCGAATATAGTATTTAGGGGAGCACCAAACTTTAAATCAATATTAACTAAGAATTTTAGAAATAAAAAATGCACCCCCATTTTTCTTCTTTACGCAAATCAAAGGTTTTTGTAAATGCAAAATTTGTATAGTTTGCAGAACTACTGATCCCACTGTACTTCATAAAGTAACTCAATTTATTTCAAGAATGACAAACAAGGTTTATAAAATTAATGACGATTAATTGTTCAACGAAAAATGTTATTCATCTGCTTGAATGCACAAGTGGCCTCCAATATGTTGGAATGACTACAAGGTGCTTAAAAACGCGATTAAGCGAACATTGCAGAAACTTTAAAAATGGATACTTAAACCACTCAGTATTCAAACATTTTATCAAACATAACAAGGACCCAAGAATGCTTAAATGTATTGGAATAAAAAAAAAAAGTACTATTCCATGGAGGGGCGGAAATATTAAAAACATTTTAGGTAAAACTGAAATGGAATGGGTGTATAAAGTCAAGACTCTTATACCCCACGGTTTAAATGCTGATTTTGATTTGTTCAATTTTTTATAAATATTTATTATCATTTTCTAATTTATATTTTAATAGTATTCATGTTCTTATATTGTTTATATTCAATACCTATTATTGTTATTATTATCTTACTGATTGTCATAATTATATGATGGGCTATGTGCTTTTTATAAACTGTTCTTATTATTACCCCTCCCCTAGCAGTTATAATAGGTTAAATATGGTACCATGGCTGATGACACTTTTCAGTGTGTCAGGCACACTCCCATATTCAAACGTCGGCCGCAATTCAGTGCGTGCCGACGTTTTATATTCTTTCCTCTTAGTTTGTCTTGTCTCCATGACGACGGCCGCAGCTTTGTGCGTGCCGTCGGCTTTTATATCCAGCCTACTTTCCTTGACGATGGCCGCAGCTCTGCGCATGCCGTCGTCATATAGACACACGCCCCTTTTTTTCTGACTTCAGCCGCAACTATATGCGTGCTGACGTTTAATCTCCACCTACTGGTTTTGAAGTCGGCGGTTGCCTAGTGCGCGCTGACGTCTAGTAGATATATTCCAGTATACCATGCGGTTACCATGCCGGTCATGTGACCGCATTGGAAAGTAATTTCTACTCAAAATAATCTTTGTTTTTAATGTTTTATAGCCAAACAAGGTCTATATATAGCCTATCATATTGTATATTTACTAAGAAAATTTAGTTTTTATATGTTTAAACTTGACTGTTTACAACTAAGGTTCTGATTGGCTGTTCCTAATTTTGGCGCCAATTCCAAAGATTTGAACTGCTATTTAAACTTTTCTTGCCAGGTATCACGTCCTTATTCCATATTGATAAAGCCATATTGGTGAAACGCGTTTGTTGATATTTTATATTGTGTATTTTTATATATTAAAAATTATTTGGTCACTTTTTACTTGTGCAATTTATCTTTTCATACACTTTAGATAGTTTTTTTACCTGCCATTTTTTATTACCCTGGACTCCAAGTAATCCTAGGTGGGGATCATACCACCAGCGCTATCTTTAAGGAGCAGTTGGTCTGCTCCTTCCTTGTGAGTACCATTTTATATATTTTATTTCCATTATTTTATCCAGTGAGCACTATTGGTTGTCTCTTTTTATTTGAGTGTCGAACATAACATTGACGGAGGAAGTTTACCCCATATCCCATAAGCGTGGATTGTACCGCTATACTCCTCTTACTCTAGAGCTAGCTATAGCTCTTGTACATGTGAGTTTTATACCAGCCTTTTATATTTTATTTATTTTATTATTGGACTTATTGCACTATTTGGTTCTCTATTTGATTTATCTCTTGCATATGAACGGATCTACACGGATGAGGACAGCGAGGACATTGTTCCTGACCAAGCACCTTATAGACTCTGTGACTCCAATAAGAGCATTTTAGATAAGACTCTTTTTATTTGGACTGTTATTATTGTTTTATATAAAGTCTCTCTGGAGCAGCCCTTATTTCCCATTTTTTCTTATTTCCATGCATGTTTGTAAAACCCAGCTGTTAAAGGAACACTCAAGGCACCAAAACAACTTCATCTAAATAAAGTTGTGTGTGATGGTGCCAGGAGGCCTCCAGGCACATTCTTAACTTCAGGGGCTAAACCGTTCGAAAAATAAGTTGCCTCCAGCACCTGTCTCAGCTCCCCTCTGCCTGCATCCAGCTTCTGAAATTTCAGAATACATTTTTGTGACTAAAAAAATACCAGAACATTTCTATGGTCCAATCCTGTCTTTTATGTCTACTAATGTATGTCGCAACTGACACTGACCACCAACAAGTGTTTAAATATTGCAAATTAGGCAAAAAAGCTAATTTTCCAATGAATAACCATTGCAACTCAATCAGGATACAATATGTTTGCTACACTTCCCCTGTGACCGTCGGAGCAAGTTGTCCTTAAGGGTTGATTCACTAAACTGTGAGTCTCTTTTTGTGTATTTTAGCCTAAATTTTGCAATTTTGTTGTCAATTCAGTTCAATATTTCACTGCATCTCACACATATGATTCCTCATCCGATAGCTTCAACTACAAACCCACCGAACGTTTTTCTTGGATGGCAAACTACTCACAGTAAACACTTATTCCTTCTTTATGTCCCTCCCCTCCTATCCCCCCCTTTTTTATCTCTTCTTCACAGCCGTATCCTTCCCACTTCCTTGCACCCTTTCCTGGTTGGGGGGCTGGGCGCTGGGGAGAGCTGGCCTGCCTTAGTTATTATTCCTAATGCTCTCTTTCAACAGCCATTGTTACATCCACCAACCACTGACTAAAGATTTTTGTGACCACCCTGACATACACTCCCTAATCATTACTCCTAACCTGTCTCCTTCCAAAAAGGGGACTAATACTCTTAACCATAGCAATTCCCCTGGTCACAGCGTTGATGGTTACAGACATTCCACACGCTCTACACGTTGTTTTTTTCTCGTTCCTTTCTTCTTTCCTCCTCTTTCATTTCCTTGAGCCAACACTCACACACTCCCTCTCACAGAGATTATCACCAACCACAATCTCAGTTGGCAAGCAGATACCAAACTGAAGATGGCTCCTAATTCGTTATGCACTGCTCAACTGGATTCACTTATTTGGGAGATAACTCATAGTTTTGCAAAATGGCATTCAACAGACACCCAAATAACTGGACAATTTGTTAAATTACGAAATATATGCACTATCTATTCAGTCCAGTACCCACACACTCACTCTACCCACGGTCGATACTACAAAAGTTGGTAATTCTCAAATGTGCTAAATATTTAGCTTCCTTCTTGCACTGTATTTATGACCAACTGGTACTTTCTACTTGCTAATTTTTGTAAACTGTGGCTTGTTTTCCTGTATCAACTAAAAACCTTTATAAGTAAAGAATTTTAAAAAATCACTACAATGTGCAATCTCAGGAATAATCCCTTAGCGTTTCCTTACATATGAGATATTTTTTAAAACAACATACACAATACTATTAAATAGACTTTAGTGCATGGAATAGAAGTTTTTTCCAGTTCGATGCATTAGAAGTTAACTTGTCATTTTAGCTTTACAAAGATAAAACCTTCCCACTATTTAGAGGTGTATGCCCATATTTTTCCCCGGACAGCTGTTCATTCCTCCCAAGCTCTTACAAATCAATGCTGCAGTCCCCACCATAGGACCCCATACCTAAAGAACCTGCCCTTAAAGGGACACTCCAGGCAACCAGACCACTTCTGCCCATTGGAGTGGTCTGGGTGCTAACTCGCACTACTCTTAACCCTGCAAGTGTAACTATTGCAGTTTTTTATAAACTGCAATAATTACCTTGCGGGGTTAACTCCACCTCTAGTGGCTGTCTAGCCACTAGAGGGCACTTCCTGGTTCCTAGCACCTCCAGCGTCGCTCATTTCCCCATAGGAAAGCATTGAAATGCATTTTCAATGCTTTCCTATGGGGAGCGCTAATGCGCATGCGCAGCATTGCTGCTCATGCGCATTAGGTCTCCCCGGTTGGTGGGCGGGATCAGCCTCGCCCACCGGCCGAGGGAGAAGGGGTTTTTACCCCTTCAGCAACCGGGGATAGGGGGGTGGGAGGGAGGGGAACCTGCAGTGCCAGGAAAACAGATTGTTTTCCTGGCACTGGAGTTTCCCTTTAATTTCTGTAGCTGTATTGCCTCAACCCACGTCAGCAGCTTGATCTGTTGTGATGAAAGCAAACTGATAGCCTTGTCAGCTCTCGTTTAGGAAATCAGACCATCAGCTGTGCTGCAAACTGCACTAGCACAGAATTTCTCTTCTGATTCTGCAGGGGTTATTACCCCACCTCATGCCATTCACTCTTGGTATTACATTCATTTAGAACTGGAGCCCCTGAGGGATACAGACAGAAACCACTGACAAATGTACCAACAAGCACATAATGACAACCGGCATCACAGGGAACACAGAGTCAGCCAGAGATATACTGAATGGCTTAAGCTATATTTAAATCAGAATGGGACACTTGCTCTCATTGACTGACAATCAGATGCAGCAACACTAGGGACTCACTGAGTAGAACAGAGGAAGATTTTTCACGGATAAATTCTGTTAAAATTGCCAAATTCCAACCATATTTACTAAAGCAAATTCTGGTATGAATTTGCATAACCTGACCGAAATCACACCAGTCAGCCGGATGTTTTTAGTTTCTGGTTTAAAATCAGTGCTTTTCACATCCAAACTCTATACAACGCATAGGATCTGGATTATATACAAAGCATGTTTTTAAATAAAATCGGGGCCAAACACATATTATCATAAGTTTTGCTTTTTTTCAGCCAGCAGACAAATAGTTAACAATATATCAACAAAGCAAGGGTTAACCATATTATGGCTGGCCAGTGTTTCTGAGCCAGCCAGCACATTAAAATATATAAAAAAATAAAATAAAAATGCCCCCATTCGCCATGCAGCAAGCGAAGTAATGTTTGCAAAACAGTGAAGAGCCAGTGGTTGCTCACTGTAATAAAATCTTGCAAATGGGAAGCTATTGCTGCCCAGTTGCTAGAAATGACCATGGAGCCTGTAAAATACTTTGGGGAGACCTACCACAGGTTCCTCCGATACCACCACTTGTGGACAACAGGACATGCTATTGTGCACCCCTTCCACCCATGGTTAAATCTCATAATAGGGGACAGCATAGGCGTGCGCACGGGGGGTGCCCAAGGAGCTGTTGTCAGCAGCTCCGCCGGGTTCCTCTCGCGCGGTCGGAGCGTTGCCGCAGATCTCGCGAGAGTGAACTCTAGCCCCACAGGCTAGAGTTCACTCTCCACTGGACCACCAGGGAAGGCTGGAGCACGGTCCCCCTTCCCTACATTTGGTAAGAAGGGAGGGGGATATTAACTAAATGGCCCCCACGCCCCACACATTACACACAAACATACAGCACACACATATACATCACCCTTACACACACAGCACACACACTAACCGCACCCTCACACTAACAACACCCTTACACACACAGCATCCTCACACATACACACACACACAGCACACACTAACAGCACCCTTACACACAGCACCCTCACACACACAGCACACACTAACAACACCCTTACACACACACACACTAACAGCACCCTCATACTAACAGCACCCTTACACACAGCACCCTCACACACACACAGCACCCTTACACACACACAGCACACACTAACAACACCCTTACACACACACTAACAGCACCCTCACACTAACAACACCCTTTCACACACAGCACCCTCACACATACACACACAGCACACACAAACAGCACCCTTACACACAGCACCCTCTCACACAGCACACACTAACAGCACCCTTACACACACAGCACCCTTACACATACACACACTAACAGCACCCTCACACACACAGCACCCTTACACACACAGCACACACTAACAGCACCCTTACACACACAGCACCCTCACACACACAGCACACAGCACCCTTACACACAGCACCCACACACACACAGCACACACTAACAACACCCTTACACACACACACACACTAACAGTACCCTCATACTAACAACACCCTTACACACACAGCACCCTCACACATACACACACACAGCACCCTCACACACACAGCACCCTTACACACACACACAGCACACACTAACAACACCCTTACACACACACTAACAGCACCCTCACACTAACAACACCCTTACACACACAGCACCCTCACACATACACACACACACAGCACACACTAGCAGCACCCTTACACACAGCACCCTCACACACACTAATAGCACAGTTACACACACAGCACCCTTACACATACACACACTAACAGCACCCTCACACACACAGCTCCCTTACACACACAGCACCTTCACACACACACAGCACCTTCACACACACAGTGCCCGCACACACACACAGCACCTTCACACACAGCGCCTTCACACACACAGCGCCTTCACACACAGCACCCTCACACACACAGCAGTGTGTGTGTATGTATGTGTATATATATATATATATATGTATATATATATATATATATATATATATATATATATATATATACGCGGTGTGTGTGTTTCTGCTTTAGGGTGCACACCCTTATACAATAGGCTGCTCACGCCTATGGGAATGGACATGCTATTGATAGTGCCAAGTAAGGGGTAAGGGGTAATCCCCCTATAGGTGCTCTGGCTAGAGGTGCCAGAGCACCTAGCTAATTCCTAATAAAAAAGCCCCACCTACTCCCCTCAGGGGGGGGGGCAATACATCTAATACCTGTAAAAAACATACACACAACAGGGGAGATAAATATGTAAAATATCATTATATGCTCTTTTAAGTTTTTCACATTTATCTCCCCTGTTGTTTGATATTTGGAGGATTTAAAGAAGTCCTAGGATATTTATACATTTCAGGAAATGTGTTACCGTATTTTTCGCTCCATAAGACGCACCACACCATAAGACGCACCTAGTTTTTAGAGGTGGAAACCCAGAAAAAAAATATTCTGAACAAACTCTCATAGTGTTTCTTACCACCCACTCCCCTCTCCTGTCCCATAGTGATCTTTAACCCCGCTCTCCTGTCCTATAGTGATCTTTAACCTCACTCCCCTGTCCCATAGGGATCTTTAACCCCCCCTCCCCTTGTCCAATAGTGTTCTCCCCCCTCCCCTCATCCCATAGTGTTCCCCCCTCTCCTTGTCCCATAGTGATCTCCTCCCCCCTCCCCTCCCATAGTGTCCCTTATTGCCCCTCTCTTCCCCCCTTGGTCCCCGGTAGGTTTACTTGTACCTGTATTGTAGTGTGACCGACCGGAACAGATTTCAGTTTGCTGTACTGAGTGCGCACTTCCTTTCATTCCGTCCGGAAACAGGAAACTGAAATTTAAGTTCCTGTACCGCGGTGCGCACTGTTCTGCCGGCCCACGCTACAATACAGGTAAGTCAACTTACACATTTGCTCTATAAGACGCACATACATTTCCACTTACTTTTGAGGTGAAAAAATTTATAGAGCGAAAAATACTGTCATTATTTTTTCTTTGCACTGGGTGTTTTTACAAGTGTTTGTTTTTTAGCGTAAAAAAAAATTATACTTTTCTTCAACCCCAACATAAAAATCCTTTACATCTCAACACTACCAGTAAAAGTTTTAAAAAGTCCTGAATCAAAAAAAAAAAAACTGAGGAAAAAATTAAAACTGATCCACAAAAGTAATCCATCTTCATCCAGCATGAGAGACAAAACTTGCCTGTCAGAGCATTCTGATTGGTTGGTTGCAGTTGTGGGAAGGCCTGAGTGAAGATGGATTACTTATTATGCAATTTCTTTATTTTCTTTTGTTATTTGTGGCATTCTTGTATTTTTAATAATAGCATTAGGATGTAATGGATTTTTAGTTGACTTTTGTGGGGCTGTAGAACAGAATACTTAGGAAGAAAGACGACTTCTGATCTAATGCCTGTATATTGTCAGTCCATTATTAGACATTTGCCTTGTCATGGTCTCTAGTAGTCAGAGAGTACGTTTTGATTCTGTTAGTTTTTTTCTCAAATTTTATTCTAGGCTTGCTTAACGACTATTTTGATGTTTCCAAACACGACTTTGGCCGTCTCACTGTCCCGTTGTCCTGCTGTAATTCTTGACTTCGGTCTATTCTTTGACAATTCTTGCATTTGTCTATGTAAGTTTTGCCAACTCTAATGTTCAATTCTCTTAGCTATTCTAAATATCAATTTTGGTAACCCCCACAAATCCCAATATCCCCATCTGAAGCCCATGAGTGTGTAGGATGCACTATTTAGAGAGGAGATTGGGGAGGCAAAGAGGCATTGGAGGATACCTGGGGCTTGAGATTGATGCCTTCCCTAAAGGTCTGGAAATCCCTTATGTTAGATCCCTAATCTCTAAGCCGCCGCACACCTGGAACTCCTCGCCAGATCGTTAAATTGCTGCAACCTGGTAACAGGCTGCACAATCTTAAGCAGGCTATAGCTCGGGTGTGGATTCTGCAATCATGGCACTATTTAGACAGTGAGGGTGCTTGATGATGAGCTATGAGCTTTTCAAGGATATATAATGTGTGGGAGAAAGGGACTTCTGGCACAGCACACTGTGCATAAATGATAGGAGGATTTCTGGTGCTTGTTTTGTATAAATTTGGCAGCTGATACTTCCCAAACCAGAGTCTCTTCTTTCTGGCCGTAGAATAGGTAATACTGGAAAGGGGTGTAGGGAAGAAGCACCTTCAGGGTGCTAACAGGTTCGTAGACTAGTGAATATAGTAAAAACACGAACTATTTTCTGGAGCCTATGATTAGCTCAAGAAGTATATGCCTGGGCGGCATGATCCCTGCATGTGGATATGTGGGTGCTTTGGGTCTTTTGAGGGTGGGTGTCCCAGGTCAGTGGGTTGCTTTGGTATCAGGAGTGGGTGTATTTATCATCAATTGCAGCATGATATTCTCCAGTATTCTCCAGTATAGAAATGAAAGCTTAAGCACAACTAATGAAGCCCTTGATTAGTTGCGTCTGGTGTGCTTGAGACAAGACCTATTTGCATATTTGTGCTGTTGTGAGGTATTCTGATCAGGAGAAGTTGCAATTGACTTTGGGGAAACAGCTTGAAGCATTCATTGTGTTGACCTATTACAATTGCTTTACCTAGAAACATAGAAACATAGAATGTGATGGCAGATAAGAACCATTCCGCCCATCTATTCTCCCCAATTTTTGAAATGCTCTTAATTAGTCCCTGCCCTTATTTTAAGTCTATTATAGCCTCGTGACTATCCCACGCATGCTTAAACTCACTCACTGTGTTAACCTCTACCAATTCAGCTGGAAGGCTATTAAATGTGTTCACTACCCTCTCAGTAAAGTAATACTTCCTGAAATTATTTTTAGACCTTTGCCCCTCTAATTTAATGTCCTCTTGTTGTGGTAGTTTTTCTTATTTTAAATATAGTCTCCTCCTTTACTGTGTTGATTCCCTTTATGTATTTAAATGTTTCTATCATATCCCCTCTGTCTCATCTTTCCTCCAAGCTATACATGTTATCCTTGTAAGCGTTATCTTGCAATCCATGAACCAGTTTAGTAGCCCTTCTCTGAACTCTTTCCAAAGTATCAATATCCTTCTAAAGATATGGTCTCCAGTACTGCATACAATACTCTAAGTGAGGTCTCACCAGTGTTCTGTACAATGGCATGAGCACTTCTCTCTCTCTACTGCTGATGCCTATCCCTATACAACCAAGCATTCTGCTAGCATTTCCTGCTGCTCTATTATATTTTCTGCCACCTTTCAGTCATCTGAAATAATTACTCCTAAAACCCTTTCCTCAGATATTGAGGTTAGTAGGGTATCAAATATTCTGTACTCTACCCTTGGCTTTTTACACCCACGATGCATTATCTTGCACTTATCCACATTAAATGTCAGTTGCCACAGCTCTGGTCATTTTTCTAATTTACCCGAATAATGTGCCACTTAGCTTATCCCTCCTGGACATCAACCCTGTTGCAAATTTGAGTATCATCAGCAAAAATACATACCTTACCATCAAGACCTTCTGCAATATCACTAATAAAACTATTAAAGAGAATGGGTCCAAGTACAGATACCTGAGGCACCCCACTGGTAACTAGACCTTGCTTTGAATATAGTCCATTTACTACAACCCTTTGTTGCCTGTCATTCAGCCACTGCCTAACCCATTCAACAATATTGGAATCCAAACTTAAAGATTGCAGTTTATTAATGAGCCTTCTATGAGAACAGTGTCAAAAGCCTTACTAAAATCTAGGTAAGCAATGTCTACTGCACCACTGATCTATTATTTTAGTTATCCAATCAAAAAAATCTATAAGATTAGTTTGGCATGATCTCCCTGAAGTAAACCCATGTTGTGTCTGATCATGAAAGCTGAAGTGATTTTAGATGTTCAACAATCCTATCCTTAAACATGATTTCCATCACTTTCCCCACTACTGAAGTAAGGTTTATTGGCCTAAAGTTGTCCGACTCCTCCCTACTACCTTTCTTGTGAATGGGTACAACATTCACTAATTTCCAGTCTTCTGGGACTACTCCTGTTAAAAATGATTGGTTAAATAAATCCGTAAATGGTTTTGCTAGTACACCACTAAATTATTTTAATAACTTTGGGTGTATTCCATCAGGCCTCATCGACTAATTTGTCTTTACTTTTGACAGTTGAAATAGAACCTCTTCCTCTGTAAACTCACATCTAACAAATTACCCATTTGTCCTTTTTCTTAACTGAAGTCCCTCTGCTTCATTTTCAGCTGTAAATATTCAACAAAAATATTTACTGAGGCAATCAGCTAGACCTTTATCTTCTTCTACATACCTTCCTTCTTTTGTTTTTAATCTAACTAATCCTTGTTTTACTTTCCTTGCAAACAGCTGAAAGTCTGTAAATTTTGACAATAAACCTGATTTTCAATGTGGATTAAATAATTTTGATTACAGCTTTGTAGTGGATGGGTGTGGTGCTCATTCAAATAGAAATCTGGTCTGAATTCAAAATATACATACAAAAAAGGAGATTGGGACACACCTGGAACATGAATTTCTTAGCAGTGAAGCTGCTGTAAAGACCAAAATATATATAAAATACAGATTAGGGAAAATCAGGGAGGAAGCTGACCTGTCGGAGGTACTCACTCGAAGTACAGGAGCTCCATCACAACTACTTTTACATTGATAATGTGTGCAAGAACACAAGTGGTAAGGTGGCATATTAATGTACCTGTATTTACATGAACCGATAGCATTGTCAATCAATGCTTGTGCTACATTATTATGAGAATTGCCTTATAATTTTAAGTGACAATGTTTCGTAATTGCAAACACATCTATACAACATATGACAGCATGACTTTAATACTCTGATATATATGATTACTACTGGACTGTATTTATTATACATGATAATAAAATATGTCTAAATCTCATAGGGAGCTATTTGATGAATATGACTCATATCGGAATTGATGACGGAATATTCTGATTTTATTGTGGTAAGTCAGGTCAACGATAACTAATATAAAAAATCATAAGTATTTCTGCTCTGATATAGCTGTTAAAGTTATGATTATAAGCTTATAATGTGATAATTCCTATGATAATTCCTATTAGAGAACATAGACAAGAGCTTCTTTAACGTCATTAGAATTCAATACGCTGTAAAATAAATATCTTACACTCATAATGAGACACTGGAAACATACCCTAGGATGTCATCAACCACACACCACAGTACATTTAGCAGTTGATGGAGTGGAATTGTTTTCTGTTTGTATGATTTTCATCACACTAGGCACAGGGCATGACTGCCCTCCTGTATAGTGCATAATATAGCCTGTCTTACTCTCCTTAATAATGTTTTTATCTATCAAGAAGCTGGACTCAAATACATTCGTACGAAAAATAATTTTGTTTATGTCTGAACTGGATTTCATCTGTTTGTTCGTTCATTTTTGGACGAAATTCTGCCATTATTTTTGTTCTGTTAATTAAATTCCGATCTTTTCCGCACCTGCATCCTGCAATCTGCAAACATTTTTTAAATAACTTCCTAAATTGGTACCCTTGTGGGATTGCCATATTTAATGGTGCCAAATTAAGGAGCTGTTTAGTAGATACAGTTGTGCTCAAATATTTGTATACCCTGAGAGAAATTGTGTCATTTTGGCATTCATTTTAAAAACATGACTGATCATGCAAAAAAAAAATATATATTTTATTAAAAGATATTGATCATATGAAGCCATTTATTATGACATAGTTGTTTGTCTCCTTTTGAAATCATAATGATAACAGAGATCATCCAAATGGACCTGATCAAAAGTTTACATACCCTTGATTGTTTGGCCCTGTTACAAACCCACAAGGTGACACACACATGTTAAAATGGCACTTAAAGGTTAATTTCCCACACCAAGGTTAATTGCAAGTAGTGTCTGTGTATAAATAGTCAATGAGTTTGTAAGCTCTCACGTGGATACACTGAGCAGGCTGGATACTGAGCCATGGGGAGCATAAAAGAACTGTCAAAAGACCTGCGTAACAAGGTAATAGAACTTTTAAAAATGGGAAAGGATATAAAAAGATATCCAAAGCTTTAAAAATGCCAGTCAGTACTGTCCAATCACTTATTAAAACGTGGAAAATTAAGGGATCTCTTGATACCAAGCCAAAGTCAGGTAGATCAAGAAATACTTCAGCCACAACTGCCAGAAATTATTTTCCAGATTATAAAGAATGAGGATACAATATGCCGATACTTATACAAAAATTAGCTGCATGGTCGAGTTGCCAGAAAGAAGCCTTTACTGCACCAATGCACAAAAAAGTCGGTAACAATATGCCCGACAACACCTTGACACACCTCACAGCTTCTGGCACACTGTAATTTGGAGAGACCAAAATTGAGCTTTTGGTCACAAACATAAGCGCTATGTTTATAGAGGGGTCAACAAGGCCTACAGTTAAAAAAAATACCATCCCCACTGTGAAGCATGGTGGTGGCTCACTGAATTTTTGGGGTTGTGTGAGCTCTAAAGGCACGGGGAATCTTGTGAAAATTGATGGCAAAATGAATGCAGTATGTTATCTTGGGATGCTCTTAGACTTTCCAGCATGACAATGATCCTAAGCACAAGGTCAAGTTGACCCTCCAGTGGTTACAGCAGAGAAAGATGAAGGTTATTGAGTGGCCATCACAGTCTCCTGACCTTAATAACATCTAGCTACTCTGGGGAGATCTCAAATGTGCGGGTCATGCAAGACGACCAAAGAGTTTGCATGACCTGGAGGCATTTAGCCAAGACAAATGGGCAGTTATACCACCTGCAAGAATTAGGGGCCTCATAGACAGCTATGACAAAAGACTACACACGGTCATTGATGTTAAAGAGGCAATACACAATATTAAGAACTAAGGGTATGCAGACTTTTGAACAGGGGCCATTTCATTTTTTTCTATGTTATCATGTTTTGTTTTATGATTGTGCCATTCTGTTATGAACTACAGTTGAATATGAATCCCATAAGAAATAAAAGAAACGTGTTCTGCTCACTTATGTTCTCTTAAAAAATAGTACAGATATTACCAATTCTCCAAGGGTATGCAATTTTTTGAGCACAACTGTAGCTTCTCTTTGGTACTCTTATGGCAATCTCACATAAAGATTAGGGAGCAATCTTCTAAAACACTGAAGGACCAAAATTATGAAAAGCCCTTCATTTTTCTTTTTCTTTTGGTCTTTGGGACAACTTTACTAATACTAGGGGCATGTCTACAAAACCACCGAGTGACGTCTCGCCGTCATAAGAAAAGACTAGCAACTGGGCAGCTATTGCTAATCCAATAAAGGGTAAGCTGGTAAAGTTTCCCCATGCCCCAATGGTGGAGCAACTATTTAAATAATTAACTGTGGAGCCAAAGCTTCCTCCTTTACCCCCACCCATTCCTTGCGAGTGGGGCTATTAAACTAAATGTGGGGCCTATTGTCCCCCTCCTGCCCCCACCAATGGCCACAGGTGGACACTATAAAAATAATAACAGGGGAACACAGTGCCCTCACCCATTGGTATATGATGGGTGGTCTAAATGATAATGGGGTGTGGAACTATTGTATACTCCCAGCCCTCCTCATTGGTGACAAGTGGGGGGCCCTAAATAATAAATGGAGGGACCTATTGCCCCACCAAGCATTGAGAGAGGGTGGGGGCCCTAAATAATAATGTGGGTGGACCTCTCACCCTAATAATAGTGAGGGGGCAATAAACGAAATACCTGTAAAATAAAAAAAAGTAATACGATTAGATGTCTTCTTTTTTCTTTCATTTTCTATTTCAAGCCCCAAAAAGGGCAAATAGAATTCCATAAAGTCATGTTGAATTATTAAATTAAAAAAGGACCTTATTGCAAAAAAAACAAAAAAACGCACTGATGAAAAAAATCCAGACAAAAAAATTAGTCCATCTTCATCTTATGAGGGCTCCATGCAGACTGAGCTTGCAAGACAGGGATAGCCTTATAAAGCTTTCCTACACCATGCAATTTGATTGAGAGTGTAAGCCAGCCAATCAGAGTGCTCGGACAAGTTAATCTTGAGGCTTACCTTCTATTTTTAAATATTATGTTGTTTACGCTCTTATTTTTTCACATTGATTTCTGTATTTCTATCCTCATTGGTCTTTCCAGAAACCATGGCTGCCTCTCTACACTCTATAATAAATGCTTATTTTTATCGCCAAGCACTCCTTTCTCATCTCATCTTTGTCAATCGTTACTACACTTGTGCATGACAAAAATTTTAGAAGTTTTTGGATCAGAATATTTTGTGCTGGAAACAATTCACTTAGGGATGAAAAATGTTTCGACCTCAAAATGTCAGGAAGCGTGAAAATAAAGGAGAAAAAAATACTCAACAGCACTCAAAGTGTAAGTTAGTGGTTCAAAGTTGTTGTTCAGTGGCAGAGGCTACTAGTAATAGGCACATCAAATGGCTTCCGAACCCCAAACCAACTGAATTGACTCTCCTATCGCACTACGCAGACGATTCATTTTTGGACAAATTGCAGTTCAGACAGAAACTAATCACCAAGTCTAATCATTACATTGCTTCATGTGCCCTAATTCAAAAGATTAACTCTTACCACAAAGCTCTCCACAACTCTAACCACTCTACATTTTTTCATTAATTCATAGGTATACCCTCTCTCAATACTGCTAACTCCTGCTTTTGTCAGGCAGCTCCATTCCTATGAAACAGTCTGCCTTTTCCCATCAGACGCTCTTCTATTTTTCAATCCTTTAAGAAGAATACCCATGGCCTCCTTGGCTAACTGCCACTTCTCAAACCTATCTACTACTCTCTTATGAGTCCACACTCCCATTCACTGTCATCTTTCAACTCTGCCACTGTCCCATCCCAAACTGGTTGCTGTACCCCACGCTTCCCTCTCAAGTGTAAGCTCGTTCAGCACGGTCCTCATCAACCTTCCTGTCATAAATCGTAACAACTTGTCTCATTAGTTGTTACATTTCCCTCTCTATATGAAAGTGCTATATAAATGCCAGCAAAAAAAATAAAAATAACCTTCATTAAATGGACCTCATATCGGTTGAACACAAGACATAGCCTGCAAAATGGAAGCTGCTTGTTAAAAAGTTACAAGATCAAAATCTATACTGGACTAGATACCAGGTGAAGAATTTACTCACAAGGATCAATGATAGTCTATGTCTCCAATCTATTCTTTAAAGACCAAAACTGATTGTATTAATTTCTGTTGGCTTGTGCAAAGCTTGTGATGCAAAAGAAATTGAATTTGCAGTTTTGGCATAGGGTATTAAGTGACAAGACTGTTTTAGTGCAGCATTTTGTTGTTATGTCATTATATTTATTGTATTATACACAGGGAATCATTGCAGCAGGCTACTCTGCACCAAAGCACAGCCTATGCAAATAGACTCTAAATTAGTTTGTATTGCTTTAACAATGGGCCAAAAATTGGAAAACCCCATTAGAAATTGTTTGGAGTTTGCTAAATCACATAGGTCTTTATACACAACCTTACTGTATGGCTAGAAATAAGTATATCATCTCTGCTTTTGCTATACTTATAGTAGGGACTGAGCTGTGAGTGACCCTTATTTAGCATTAAACTGATCAGAAACAATTTAACACTGAATGGAAGGACAGTGCCAGAGGACTTCAGGCACTATAATCAATTTCATAAGATTAAAGGACCACTATAGTGCCAGGAAAACATGCTCCACCCTCAGGGACCCCCTCCCGCCCGGCTCTGGAAAGGGGAAAGGGGTTAAAACTTACCTTTTTCCAGCGCTGGGCGGGGAGCTCTCTGCCTCCTCTCCTCCTCCTGGGCTGAATGCGCACGCGCGGCAAGAGCTGCGCGCGCATTCAGCCCGTCGCATAGGAAAGCATTTACAATGCTTTCCTATGGACGCTTGCGTGCTCTCACTGTGAAAATCACAGTGAGAAGCACGCAAGCGCCTCTAGTGGCTGTCAATGAGACAGCCACTAGAGGATTAGGGGAAGGCTTAACCCATTCATAAACATAGCAGTTTCTCTGAAACTGCTATGTTTATAAAAAAAATGGGTTAACCCTAGAAGGACCTGGCACCCAGACCACTTCATTAAGCTGAAGTGGTCTAGGTGCCTAGAGTGGTCCTTTAAATAGTTATAGTGCCTACAGTGTCCCTTTAAATCTAAATCTGGTGTCTAGTGTAACTCTGCAGGTGTGTAGGCTGTGTGCTAAAATGATGTACCTCATCCACAATGACCAGATGGGTGTTGTGAAGTGCAGACAGGGTTCATATAATATCCATACATTGCATAATCCTTGGCAATCAACTATCAAACACTCAGTATTACTCAGTAATACTCACCCTAAATACTCAGGGTGATTTTAATATTAGATGCTGAAAAGTCTCCATTGAGGCTTCCTGAAGGCAATCGTTGATAAATTACTTTCCTATCATGATCCAGTTGCCTACCTATCAAACAGTGGATTTCCTCTGAAATACCAATAGTAAACAATACCACACAAGGATGACTATGATCACCATTATTGCATATTCTAGCATTAGAACTGCTTGCATATATGTTTAACCCTTTAAGGACACATGACATGTATGACATGCCATGATTCCCTTTTATTCCAGAAGTTTGGTCCTTAAAGGCTTAAACAAGATCCAGCAATTCATGGATTTTAGTTGAATATATACCTGGACTTTTTTTTTATGACGGCATGGCCACCTTGACACTGGCTTCCTTGTCTGTGTTGTCCAGAATATGAGAAGGTATCATTTTATGCAGTTAGGGTTAGGAAGACAAAAGCTGTGTGTATTGGAATACATTATTTTATGCATTCTATCTTGAAGGCTAAGTGTCAAATTGACTAGAGATATGATCATTTTATATATTTTGAGTTATAAATGACCAAACCTGCAAAGGGAATTTGTCAACATAAAACAAAATGATATAGTTTACAACCCAGGCACAACTTTATAGCTAGTTGTAAAACACGAGTTATCATAGTTAAGATGTATTGTTTCAAAAGTCACTTTTACTCAAAATGCATTGCATGTTTAGGATCCATCCTCTGCTCCAGCTGAAAATCTTCACATCAAAGGTGCTAAATTCATCAGATATTTAGAAAAGCAAAAATGATGTGGGATCTTCAATACTTTTCAAAATTTAATATGACCAGTAATGCAGTTTAGATTTGACCAACTTAGAGTGTCATTTCACACAAGTTGCACAAATATGCGTAATGGACATGTTTATCTGCTGGAATGAAACTACTGTGGTTTGGCAAAGAGAAAAGATAAATATATCACTGAGTATGATGCATTTGGAGAGCCTATTCTACCTTTTTTCACCAAAACTAAGTACCTACTATATTTTTTTTAGTTTTATATGGGTAGTTAGCCTGTAAATATTGCAGACCTGCCTAGTATGGACCAGCAAATCTGCCAATTATGGCCTCAATTTAATATTGTTGGATAAGATTTCCAAATGATTTAATATTTTTGGATAAACTTTTTAAATTATTTTTCAACATATTAAAATATCAATACATATATCATATGTACAGTATCTCACAAAAGTAAGTACACACCTCACATTTTTGCAAATTTTTTATATCTTTTAATGTGACAACACTGAAGAAATGACACTCTGCTACAATGTAAAGTAGTAAGCGTACATCCTGTATAACAGTTTAAATATGCTGTCCCCTCAAAATAACTCAACACACAGCCAACATACCCCTAAGTGGAAATGTCCAAATTGGGTCCAAAGTGTCAAGATTTTGTGTGGCCACCATTATTTTCCTGCATTGTCTTAGCCCTCATGGACATGGAGTTCACCAGAGCTTCACAGGTTGCCACTGGAGTCCTCTTCCACTCCTCCATGCGGACTTTACGGAGCTGGTGGATGTTAGAGACCTTGCTCTCCCCCACCTTCTGTTTGAGAATGCTTCGTAGATCCTCAATATGGTTTAGGTCTGAAGACATGCTTGGTCAGTTCATCACCTTTACCTTCAGGTTCTTTAGCAAGGCAGTGGTAGTTTTGAGGTATGTTTGGGGTCATTATCATGTTGGAATATTGCCCTGCGGCCTTGTCTCCGAAGGGAGTGGATCATGCTCTGCTTCAGTATGTCACAGTACATGTTGGCATTTATGGTTCCCTCAATGAACTGTAGCTCCCAGTGCCGGCAGCACTCATGCAGGCCCAGACCATGACACTCCCACGATCATGCTTGTCTTTGTACTCCTCACCTGGTTGCCGCCACATGCTTAACACCATCTGAACCAAATAAGCTTATCTTGGTCTCATCCAACCACAGGACCTATTTGCAGTAATCCATGTCCTTAGTCTGCTTGTCTTCAGCAAACGGTTTGTGGGCTTTCTTGTGCATCATCTTTAGAAGAGGCTTCCTTTTGGGGTGACAGCCATGCAGACCAATTTGATGGCAGCACTCATACGTCTATTTCCCAAAGACAACCTCTGGATATGACGCTGAGCATGTGCACTCAACTTCTTTGGTCGATCATGCCGAGGCCTGTTCTGAGTGGAACCTGTCCTGTTAAACCGCTGTATGCTCTTGCCAACAGTGCTGCCGCTCAGTTTCATTGTTTTGGCAATCTTCTTATAGCCTAGGCCATTATTTTTTTTTCAGATCCTCAGAGAGTTCTTTGCCATGAGGTGCCATGTTGAACTTCCAGTGACCAGTATGAGAGAGTATGAGCGTGATAACACCAAATTTAACACACCTGCTCCCCATTTACACCTGAGACCTTGTAACACTAACGAGTCACATGACACCGGGGAGGGAAAATGGCTAATTGGGCCCTATTTGGATATTTCCACTAAGGGGTGTGCTCACTTTTGTTGCCAATGGTTTAGACATTAATGTCTGTGTGTTGAGTTATTTTGAGGGGACAGCAAATTTACACTGTTATACAGGCTGTACGCTTACTACTTTACATTGCAGCAGCATGTCATTTCTTCAGTGTTCACATGAAAAGATATAATACAATATTTACAAAAAAATGTGAGGGGTGTACTAACTTTTGTGAGATACTGTATGTATTGATATTTTAATATGACAAAACCAAATGACTTGTCATAATATTAAATCATGTAAAAAACGTATCTAGAAATATTAAATCATTTTCAAAACATATCTAACTTTAAATTGTAGCCTATTTTGGAACTGTCTATGGAATGGACAATACCCATTAATAAAATTGTTTCCTAATTTACAGGTATTTTTTTTAATGCTAAGAGTGGGCAAGTCTTTGGTTGTCGATAAATATCACCAAATGGTCTTTATTACTACATATCAGGCTATGGATACATAATGTACCATTTTCTGATTACAGTGGATTATGACAATTTTATGTCTATTGACTGTTGCATCATACATACATGTTATGTTGCATTATCTCTATGCTTTTATTTTACCTCTCCAAATCTCCTTTACCTTCTGTAACCCTAATTTGGAAAATAAATAAATAAAATACAAATCTTTATTTTAAAAGTTTAAATGTCATCACACATTTTATTGCTGATTTATTAATGTTTAATAGTGAAATAAAGCCAATTATTTAATCGGATGGTAACTGGTATCACGGTAACTATGATTTAGATATATTCTACATAAGAAGTTTCCTCAATGTTTGTTAATCATTGATATTTGGGATGGCAACTGTGACCTAGAGCAATATAACCAATTTACATGGGCGAAGTTGATACGGATGAATATTTGTAATAGAAAGTGCATCAACGAATGATTTTTATATCGGCAGTACTGGATAATATATCAAGGGTTATGTGAGTGAAAAACAGTAATTTGATGACTGATGTAGTTGTGAATGATCTATGTCTTGACACTTGAGTCCTAGGTCTAGATTACCTGTCACATCACAGTAAAGTTTTAGCAGCCAGACATCTCTCTGTTAAAGTAGATGGTAAGAAAGAGCAGAATTTTTATGATATGACAAAATTTGCAATTATGGATTAATTGTCTAATTGTACCATGAGAGCTGTCTCAGGAATAAAACTTCAGCCATACATGTTGTCTATGTGCCTTGACACATTTTACAGGTACTTCTGCAATCCTCATTAAGATCATACAGATTTGCATCATGTATATCTGTGCAAGCCATTTGAAAAGAGGAATAACTTTTAACAGACACCAGATAAAACATAGAGATAAATTAATAGCTACAGCGAGGTAAAAAATTATTTGATCCCCTGCTGATTTTGAACATTTTCCCACTGACAAAGAAACGGTCAGTCTATAATTTTAATGTTAGGTATATTTTAACAGTGAGAGACAGAATAACAAAAACAAAAATCCAGAAAAACGCATGTCAGAAAAGTTATAAATTGATTTGCATGTCAATGAGTGAAATAAGTATCTGACCGCTTCGACTTAGTACTTGGTGGCAAAACCCTTGTTGGCAATCACAGAGGTCAGACGTTTCTTGTAGTTGGCCACCAGGTTTGCACACATCTCAGGAGGAATTTTGTCCCACTCCTATTTGCAGATCCTCTTCAAGTCATTAAGGTTTCGAGGCTAAAGTTTTGCAACTCGAACCTTCAGGTCCCTCCACAGATTTTCTATGGCATTAATGTCTGGAGACTGGCTAGGCCATTTCAGGACCTTAATGTGTTTCTTCTTGAGCCACTCATTTTTTGTCTTGGCTGTGTGTTTTGGGTCATTGTCATGCTTGAATACCCATCCATTACCTATTTTCAATGCCCTGGCTGAAGGAAGGAGGTTCTCACCCAATATTTCACGGTAAATGGCCCTGTCCATTGTCCCTTTGATGTGGTGCAGTTGTCCTGTCCCCTTTGCAGAAAAACACCCTCAAAGCATAATATTTCCACCTCCATGTTTGATGGTGAGGAAGGTGTTCTTAGGGTCATAGGCAGCATCCCTCCTCCTCCAAACACGGTGAGTTGAGAGCTCAATTTTGGTCTCATCTGACCACAGCACTTTCACCCAGTTCTCCTCTGAATCATTCAGATGTTCATTGACAAACTTCAAATGGGCCTGTACATGTGCTTTTTTGAGCAGGGGAACCTTGTTTTCTTGGTGACTATGGTCCCGTCTGCCTTGAGATCATCAACAAAATACCCCTGTGTAGTTCTGGGCTGATTCCTCACCATTCTTATGATCATTGAAACTCCACAAGGTGAGATCTTGCAGACTCAGTTATTTTGTGTTTCTTCCATTTGCGAATAATCACACCAACTGTTGTCACCTTCTCAGCAAGCTGCTTGGCGATGGTCTTGCAGCCCATTCCAGCCTTGTGTAGGTCTACAATCTTGTCCCTGACATCCTTGGACAGCTCTTTGGTCTTGGCCATGGCAGAGAGTTTGGAATCTAATTGATTGTTTTTGTGGACAGGTGTCTTTTATACAGGTAACGAGCTGAGATTAGGAGCACTCCCTTTAAGAGAGTGCTCCTAATCTCAGCTCGTTACCTGTATAAAAGACACCTGGGAGCCAGAAATCTTGCTGATTCATAGAGGATCAAATACTTATTTACAGCATTGACATGCAAATCAATTTATAACTTTTTTGACATGCATTTTTCTTGATTTTTTTTTAATTTTTATAAATTCTTTATTTTTCACATGCAAAGGGTGATAAACAAGCTTGAAACGCCACAATAGCTGTATCAAGCACATTACTAACAATCCGCTTAGGACAGTAACATGGTTTCATATAGACTGCACATTTTATATTTAGTTAACGTTGGACCTGAAGACATTCACAAACTTAGATCATGAAGTAGAGAATAAGTTAGCTAAACACTAGCGTGTGTGCTCATCTTGCCACTGTTGTGTACCAAAGCTAAGTGTCCCTGGGAAACATAACATTCTGTGTGCCTTATGTGCGTGGTCCGCCTGTGGCCTGTATGCGTGGAACACATGTATGAAAGGGTCAGGTGGCTTGTGGTCGGTTGTGTGGATTATGATCCCCTGTAACCCTATGGAGCAGGGGGGAGAGAAAGAGAAAGTGGGGCTCTCTCAATGGCCCGGTCTCTGTCGGGACGCTATGTGGTTGCGGGTATGTCTGCTGCAGTGGGACTGTGTGTTGTACCCTTCCCTCGGGCCAGTAAGACTAGGTGTGCGTTGTGTTTTGGACTCTCTGCGACCTAATATAATGTGTCTAAAATAAGAATAACAACATATAAACCAAAATATAAGGGAACAGGTAACTTGTGCACATTAAACTGTTGTGCGCTTAGAGTTCCTCCACTTAAGCTCTTTGGGCTAGTCCTTGGGCCTGGAGACCCTTGGAGAATTAGATGTGGCCTCGTTAGCCATCAGAGTCCCATCAGGTTGTTGCTGCTGTGCTTCTCTGTGATTTGAGCCGTCAGGGGACAAATGGTAGTGTCGTTGCTGGGTCCCCTATCCCAGGTAAAGCGGGTATGGTGCGTTGTCCCATCGTAGGTATGGCGTCCTGTCGTAGGTCCAGTGTGGGAAGTAGGTCTCTCGTGCCCTGCATATCTTGGATGGTGTACCGGGAGTCTCCATGAGAAAGTTGTAGTGCGCGTGAGCCCCTCCACTTGTACTTTATGTTTTGCGCGCGGAGAAGTGCCATGAAGGGCTGAAGTGAACGGTGCCAGGCCATTGTGGACCGTGAGAGGTCTGTATAGACTGAGAGCGACATATTCTCAAATAGGTAGGGAGAGTGGTTTCATGTTGCGTTCAGCATTGCTGTTTTATCCCTATTATAGGGAAACCATACCAGTAGATCTTTGGGTAGCGTGCATGGGGCTGTAGCAGACCTTGGGAGTCAGAACATCCCCTCCGGGGTTATCTGTTTAGCATGTTGAGGTATAAGTAGGGCCGTGAGGAGCCTTTGTATAAAGTGAGGAATTTCAGCCTCCGGTATCTCTTCTGCGATCTCCCGGATCTTAATGTTTTTGCTGCACCTCTGGTCCTCCAGAACTGCAAATTGGTGTTCAAATTTAAGATTCTGTTGTGCAGTTCAGTTACCAGTTGCTGTAGATGCTTGGTGTGCTTGGTGGTTTGTAGGGATCCATGTTCAGGGGCGCTAATGTGGCCTGTCAGGCCCTGCAGGTCTGTGCGTATTTGGGCCATAGCCATCTGAATAGCGTGTTGGACCCCGGCCAGCAGGTCCTTTATAACCGCTATGGTGACCGGGGGTGAGTCGGGTCATGGGGGAGTAGAGAGAAGGGCCTTTGGTGCGGGCAGGGCTTTACCTCCGTTCCGGTTATGAAGTCATCGGAGATGTCAGAGCTTTCATCAGGGAAGGCGGCCATGTTTGGACTAACTGCACTCCGGGCCTGTCTCCAGAGGTCGCCGATGCGGTTTGGACTTTTTAGTTTTTCACCCCATCCTGTCTATTTTGCGGTCAGTATGCGGGGTCTGGGTGCTGCAATTAGGGTAAAAGTAGCTCTTTTGTCCCGAGCTCAGACAACATGTGGCCATTCAGCTCCGTGGCTTAGCATTTCTTTGTTAGTGGGCAAACGTTCAAAATCAGCAGGGGATCAAATACGTTTTCCCCTCACTGTACAGTGATTCTATAATCCCGAGTGGATATAAAAGAGCACAGTAGAGTTTGTCTTGGCCCTAAACAGTCACATGCGCAATCTCCAAACTTGGAACTAACCCAGCCCAGGTCTGCAACATGATGAGTAATTAGCTGTTTTGTCAATATAGATCTTAGTGATTATAGCTCTTAATAGCCTTATAACAGTCTCTCATTAGCAAACAGAGTCTGGACAGACACTTGTTTGTAAAATCACAGAATCTGGACAGATGTTTTCTGGAAAAACAAACTTTTATTATTCAATATATTTAAAACAATCTTTAGAAACAGAAAATGTAGGCATAGGGATATTTAAGTAACATTTGGCTTGAGATGGTCAGCCAATAGCTGTACAAGGAAAATTTCAATGGGATTCCAGGAGCCACTAGGAAAACACCTGACAAATGTCATATTCAAATCTCTCTATGGAGTCCTGTACATCACTGTGGTTAGAGTGACCAACAGTCTTCTTAGGTCTGTACATAACAGGCCTCTTGGCCATCCGATCAGAATACAGCTTGGTCTTCCATGCCCTTGACTATCCTGTCTCTTTTTAAAGGCAACCATTAGCCTGGTTGAATTTACTAAGGCTTTAGAGAGTGCTGAGATGTATTGTTCCATATTCAGCTTGCTATTTTAAATAGATACAAGGATATCTGACCTGTTCCATTAATCACAGAGCCCTATCCAGATACCAGCTATGGGCGATTATGGGCTCCCCCTCGCCACTCCAGCAAAGAATCAGAAGCCTCATGCAAATCTATTTATACATGCTCATGACCACATCTGAATGGCATGCCTCCCAAGCGCCTTCTCAGTGCATGCAAACAAAGTCATAGTTGTCGCAAAACTGGCAATCCGCCGGCCTCATGTTTTCTGTCGCTCCTCTATGACATGGTCCAATCCTAACAGAACCATGAGTATTTAGAACCCTGCCTTTCTTGTCCCAATCACCCTGTTGAGGTTCTTATTTAGCCCAATAATGTATTTGTGATATTGTTGATCTCCTGTTACTGACCTTGACTTGATTACCTTTCATTCTATTCTTTTTTTCTTGATATTTGATTTGTCTCACGTTTACCCTAATTTCTCCATCCCTTAGCTTTCTCTCTGACCATTCATACATTAAGCCCGGTCACTCTAAGGTCCAGCTAAACAGATTATAGTATACTCTGTTGAAGATGATAGACCGTGTTTTTAGGTTCCCTTATGTATACAGTGACACTAAGTGCATGTCCCCCAAACAAGTGATAGTCCCAGGGACATTTTACAGTTCAACTTCAACATCTCCTGAGGATGTTATGTACAAAATGTTACACTTTTCTCATCTAGGCTGAGGGCTGGAAGACACATTTAATTTTATTACATGACAGGAGGCTTCCTATTTTGCATAAACTTTCTTTACTTTATGCCTCCAGCAGCACAAGTCAATCAATCAGAAAAGAAAAAGTTTAACCAATCAGAGTCCAGCACCTCTTGTATATAAGTCCCTGACAGGCTTCCCATTTCCTCTTTCTTTGCTGCTTCCAGCCAGGACACAGGTCAGAGTGATTTTACCTATAACTCTTACAGTATATATATTGCTTTTAAATAATTTTGTTTATATTGTTATCTTTTGCCTAGTAGAGATCTTTATTGTTATTTTAAGGGTTAGCCCCCCTTTCTTTGCGCCTCTCCCCCTGCCATTTCCCCCCCCCTCCTCATTTCTGCCCCTAGCTTTTTCTCGCGGTTTTACCGCGACCGCGGCTTTAAATTGCCGTGGTCGCGGCTGATTAGCGCGGCCGGCTTCTCCGGCGGCTCGGGCAGCTCAGGGTGGGCGGGTGGGGGGCCGGGGTCTGTTATCACCTAAGCGGGCCGCGATCAACGCGATCACGGGCCGCGCTTAGTTTTGGCGCGAACGGCCATCTTGGATCTCGCTACTCGCGAGATCCAAGTCGGCCATCTTAGGTGGGGAAACTGTGATTCACATGGTCCCCCGTTATCATCCCCACTCCTATCACCCTCTGTCTGCCAGGCCCCTCTATAGAGGCAGGGGACCTGGGAGGGAGAGGGTGCTTGAGTTGTTCATGCTTACCCCCTTCTCTGTGGTGATCCTGTTCTAGGTGAATATCTCCATATATACGGTATTGTCCCCCCCTACCTGCCGTTTTGGGGTACTACACCAGAAACAAAATAAATAAATAAATAAAAGGAATAAATAAATATACACAAAACAAACAAAAAAAAAAAAAATTTTAATTGTACACTGAAATTTGGATTTACAGAAGCCTAGGAGAAATTCGTACAGAACATTCAACTGATATCAACATCTCCATTTCACGTACATTTTCTATTTTTCAGTTTCATGATGATGGTCACTTAATTTGCACTTTTATAAAAATGACACCTACAAATCTCCATTGTTTCTATGCCCTAACACTCTTTCTAAATACAAAACAAGAATTAATATGCAGGGACCACATTTCACAACTTTTGTTCCTACAGTGATTTCTTTTAGCACCATGTATGGTCATTTTATGATCTCAAAGATGGTATGTAGACCTTTGTAAGAGCTCAACTATAAATGTAAATGGGACTGTCTGCAAAAGGATGGCACTCCCTCTAAAATTGGGAAGCAACTGATGAAGCCTCACATGCCACCTACTAGCCACGCAATAAAAAGAGAGCTTTCATCTAAAGCAAAACAGGTAAGAGACCAAGTAACTCTGGATTTGATTCAGCAAAGTGCCCAGGAAAATTTATTTGTTAACATTTCAAATCCTAAGTTCTATAGTAATAGTACGTAATTCTCTAAATACTATTTGTGTTAAAGGCCAGAAAGAAACCTGTATAGCGAAGAAAACATCAAACATAAATGACACACATTATAACATGACAAATCTGAACTCTATAATCCATTGACAATAAAGATCAGATGGTAGTGGTTAATCAGCTCCTATTATGTATTCGAGCAAGCCTCCTTCAGACATAAATCACTGTGAACTTTCATGTACCCATGCTGGAAATTAAATCCAGTTACACGGTCCATTACGAGATGCCATTCATAAAATGACGGCAACAAGGGAGTGCAAATCCAGAGCATCTTAAAAACATCTGTGCCCCAATTTAGAGATAATGTGAAGTTAAGAAAAATACTTTAAATGAACAACAGAAGGCAGTACTTTTTTTTTTAAATTATATGTGATGTTGTTTGATAATAACTATCACATAACTTTTCATAATAAAATAAATTAAATCAGTTTCTAAAAACCTATAGTGAAAATTTTTTGTTGTTGTTGAAAACAAAATAAATAAGCTGCAGGGTAGGTAGGTAGCCATAGCTTTTCATGGTACTACAGTCTAGAGGGTACTTAAAAAATGAACTTACCACCTCAAACAGATATAACTGAAACTGTTTTGATTCAAGGCGTGCATCTGGCATTGAGAGACACTGTGTATGAATAACTGCTTGTGTGTGTTTAGTGTCACACCAAGGGTGCATAATTCATTGTTGCACAATAGAATATTAATATAATTTGTGTAGTGCATATATGAATTGACCACTTGGTAAAGATCAGATGACAGAAGGTGTGAATTGCATAGGAATGTGAAAGGGAGCAGATGGTTTACTATATGCATTGATCCTTTGATTAATCAAAAGCTCTGGAATAGAGAAATGGTAACAAATTCATAGAGGCAATTATTATTTCTGTGGCAAGTACAAAAGAGGAGATAGAAGGAAAAGTTTCTATTTGGATTGATGTGGGACTGGGACACAGGGGGGTAGTCACTTATAGTTATTATAGGTGGTACGCCTTATTTCCACCTCTGGGCGAGGCTTGCTGTCCACAGGGTATATCTCTTTCTTGCCTGAGACTCCCTGGGGCAGAAGTTTTACTTTGAAAAGCTGAGTAAGTCATTAGCACTTTTGTTATTTTATCCCTTCTGTTTTTATCTGTTGTTGGTGTAACTAATTTGATTGTCATCTATATTTTTGCATGCACTGTGACTATTTTTTGCTCATAATAAATATTCCTTTATTAAGCTCTGCCTTTGTCTGGTAAACAATCACGTTACCTAAGGAGACTAATTACTATTTTTCAATTACATAGATATTGTGCTAAGTTACATTTGGTGGGTTTTTATTATTAAATTACCTGGGGGACCAAGGCACCCCCATTTATAAATTGTCTTGGTGGTGGGAGTGTTAAAATAGTAATATTTACATTATTATGCTTAAGTGTGGGTGGTGTTAAGGGGGATTTTATCATTATTCTCAGTCTAGTGCAGACAAATACAGGGAGTGCAGAATTATTAGGCAAATGAGTATTTTGACCACATCATCCTCTTTATGCCTGTTGTCTTACTCCAAGCTGTATAGGCTCGAAAGCCTACTACCAATTAAGCATATTAGGTGATGTGCATCTCTGTAATGAGAAGGGGTGTGGTCTAATGACATCAACACCCTATATCAGGTATGCATAATTATTAGGCAACTTCCTTTCCTTTGGCAAAATGGGTCAAAAGAAGGACTTGACAGGCTCAGAAAAGTCAAAATAGTGAGATATCTTGCAGAGGGATGCAGCACTCTTAAAATTGCAAAGCTTCTGAAGCGTGATCATCGAACAATCAAGCGTTTCATTCAAAATAGTCAACAGAGTCGCAAGAAGCGTGTGGAAAAACCAAGGCGCAAAATAACTGCCCATGAACTGAGAAAAGTCAAGCGTGCAGCTGCCACGATGCCACTTGCCACCAGTTTGGCCATATTTCAGAGCTGCAACATCACTGGGGTGCCCAAAAGCACAAGGTGTGCAATACTCAGAGACATGGCCAAGGTAAGAAAGGCTGAAAGACGACCACCACTGAACAAGACACACAAGCTGAAACGTCAAGACTGGGCCAAGAAATATCTCAAGACTGATTTTTCTAAGGTTTTATGGACTGATGAAATGAGAGTGAGTCTTGATGGGCCAGATGGATGGGCCCGTGGCTGGATTGGTAAAGGGCAGAGAGCTCCAGTCCGACTCAGACGCCAGCAAGGTGGAGGTGGAGTACTGGTTTGGGCTGGTATCATCAAAGATGAGCTTGTGGGGCCTTTTCGGGTTGAGGATGGAGTCAAGCTCAACTCCCAGTCCTACTGCCAGTTCCTGGAAGACACCTTCTTCAAGCAGTGGTACAGGAAGAAGTCTGCATCCTTCAAGAAAAACATGATTTTCATGCAGGACAATGCTCCATCACACGCGTCCAAGTACTCCACAGCGTGGCTGGCAAGAAAGGGTATAAAAGAAGAAAATCTAATGACATGGCCTCCTTGTTCACCTGATCTGAACCCCATTGAGAACCTGTGGTCCATCATCAAATGTGAGATTTACAAGGAGGGAAAACAGTACACCTCTCTGAACAGTGTCTGGGAGGCTGTGGTTGCTGCTGCACGCAATGTTGATGGTGAACAGATCAAAACACTGACAGAATCCATGGATGGCAGGCTTTTGAGTGTCCTTGCAAAGAAAGGTGGCTATATTGGTCACTGATTTGTTTTTGTTTTGTTTTTGAATGTCAGAAATGTATATTTGTGAATGTTGAGATGTTATATTGGTTTCACTGGTAATAATAAATAATTGAAATGGGTATATATTTGTTTTTTGTTAAGTTGCCTAATAATTATGCACAGTAATAGTCACCTGCACACACAGATATCCCCCTAACATAGCTATAACTAAAAACAAACTAAAAACTACTTCCAAAAATATTCAGCTTTGATATTAGTGAGTTTTTTGGGTTCATTGAGAACATGGTTGTTGTTCAATAATAAAATTAATCCTCAAAAACACAACTTGCCTAATAATTCTGCACTCCCTGTACTGAACTTTAACCCTTTCAGTGTATGTGTATGACTGCTGGGCTGTTTGTGTATATAGTGTGTATGTGAATGCAGATTTTCATTCCATTGAGTCAATGAGTTTGAATGTAAAGTTGTACACATATATATAAAGGAGTATATTTACATCCTTTCATCTCATAATGTCACTTTAAAATTCTCTCTACTTGCCCATGTCACATTACCCCTCTCTAATCATGTCCTATATCACCGTCACATTATTACATCCCCTTCCCATGCATTATATTCAAAGAAACCTCTCTATTATAAGGATAACATGATATTAGAGTTCAGTGCACTAAACTTCATAAGGTTGCTTATTTAGTAGACCCCCCATAGCTTGCTTGTATTCGTTTTTGCTATATGTTGATGTTGTTACACACAATCTTTCAGATGAGCTGACATTGATTAATTTATTATTTAGGGGAGACTATAGCCACTTTAGCGTAATTAAGCAGTTTTTTTTTGTATAGATCATTCATTTGAAGTGTCACTGCTCAACAAAATTAAATATTTTTTGTTGTCTTTGCAGCCCTAGCCACAACTCCACTGGCTGTGACTGACACAGTCTGCATGAAAACAAAATTGTTTCATTTTCAATTTGATGTCACTTACTTTAAAAGGCTTTTATCTCCTGCTATGTCATTTGGAATTTAATTACATACAGGAGGCTCCTGCATGGTCTAGCAAGCTATTAACAAAGCAGGCGATAAGAAATTATAAATTAAAAATAATTTGCAATAAAGGAAGTGTAAACATTAGATGACTCTTTACAGGAAGTGTTTAGGAAGGTTGTGTAAATCACATGCAGGGAGGTTTTTTTTAGGGTTGCATTAACAAATTCATGTAACTCCTAAATGACAGAGAATTGAGCAGTGAGACTACAGGAGCATAATCTATACCTGCTCCATTAAGCTAAAGTTTTGGTGACTATAGTGTCCCTTTAACGGTGCTTTGATGGTGCTTCATTTTACATTGGCAATGCCCATTTGCTACACATTTCCTTTGGTGATGGATATTGTGATGAAAGCTGCTTCGCCACTGGGTTTTGGAGGGGACTACTTGCCAGACTTTTACCCTAATTGTGCCTATTGGAACTGTGAACAATGGTCCTTCGAACTTTTGAAGTGGTCGTTGTGGCACTTCGGATACAGTTGAAGTGTCGAAGTTGTCGAAGTGGCCGCCACACGACATTCGAACATGTGGCAGCCTAATTCTCTGGAACTGTTTTGGGCATGAAACCATGCGTGCTGTCGGTCAAAAAGAGACTTCCAGGGATTTCCTGAACCCCTGCTCTAATCTGGGTGATTTTTGGATATGTTGTTCACCCAGATCAGAGCTATCAGGGGATGTGACTTATGGGGATATGTTGTATTTTGGGGTATTTATTGGACTTTGTAAAAATGTTTGGTTTTTCTGTCTGGGGATAATTAAGTTAATGTATTATCTACCTTAATTATATGACAGGCAGAGGGGAGGGATTGTGTATTGTATGTGGGAGTGTCATTCATTGTCACATTGTTTCTATTGGCTTGTACACTTTGTGTCCCTGTGCCCAACAAGGTCTGCCTGGGCGTCACTGTTGTCGGGAAACCTGCATAAAAGGCCAGTGTGCCTCTATTAAAATTGAGTTCCTGTTTAACCCTCAACACAAAGCCTTGTCTCGTGGTTGGAGGGGAACTGCTATATTCACACTGGGGATTGCTATACTCTTTATACTCCCCTGGGTTCTAATTACTAGCTCTTCTAAGAGCTGTTCCTGCTACGATCTCTGGAGTAGGAGAGGTCTGTCCCAGGTTGGGAGGAAGATGGAAAGATTCCAGTTAAGCTACGGCGGTTGTGAAGTCTGCGGTGCTTGTGGTGTCTGGTGCGGTGCTTATGGTCCTCAGGGTCAGCTAGGAAGCATCTGTTGGCGGAGGTGCCCAGTCGGGGTGCCAGATGATCTGTTACAGATATGCTTCTGGGGGTTAGCATGCATACAATCTATATGATATCTAATCTATCCGTGATCATGTCTCTTGTTTTTCTTTGGTCTATATAATGTTGTGTAATTAATTGCCCATCTTCTCTATGTATTGTAAGACAGTGACTTAAGAGCTTCTATACTTTTGCCTTCTGACAAAATGTATGATTTTCTTTTTCTTGTATCCTCAGAATGTCATTTCTATGAATGATGGGTAGATATTGTGTAGATTTGTTACATTATTTTTCTTTGGTTTTACGTCTTAAGTCCTCAAGACTTACAAATTTAGATTTGTTGGCTTGCATATATGACAAGCTCACAATAATTTAGCAGCATTCAGATTTACTTGACCTGGTGGCTTTAATATATTTTCTATCAATAGCTAAATGGACACTCCAAGCTGAAAGTGACCCCTATTTTGAAATTATTATATAGATTATGCAAGAAAATTGTTCAAAATGTAAACCATAAAAAGATGATTTTCTTGATATCCTGAATTAACTGTAAATCCTCAAGATTTGAATATTGTGATGTCAGCTCTGTCCAAACCATGATGTAGCTCAGCTAATAACGATTTATTTTCAATGAGAGATGAGCGTATCTCCTAAACCCTTCTTCAACAAAGATTTATGGCACATTTGTTTAAGTGCTTGGAAGCAATTCCATTTAACAGATAAGATGAATTGAACTGCTGATAGCATTTGCACCTGTTCTCATCAGCTATTATCATCTCCAGCACGTTCCATTCACAGTTGTATCATACACGATTGATGTACCACGTTTAGGAATGACTGTGGTTTAGAATGTTCACAGTAATTTCTCTACACCATAAATTATTCAAATAACAGGCCTTGATTTAACTTAACAAATAAACATATAGTGTTGCTACCCCGAAGTAGGGAACAAACTAACAATGCAAATTGACTTTAAAAAATAGTAATAGCTCACTTATTGCTCATGTTGCAGGTTTTCATGCTTGGTCCAGGTTCCTGTCACGGGAGTCGTAACCCAACACACAGGAAAGAGGAAACCACAAAAGGTGGATCCGAAATACGCATTACCGAGCCTTAGAATGGCCGGACCTAACGTATTAACAAGAACCAAGGTCAAGAATAAGTCAAGGACAGGAATAGCATGAATACTCAAAGTCAAGACAAAGCCGGGGCCAGAATACCAGAAATCACGAGTCAAATACGAAGCCGGGGTCAGGATACCAAAAATTATGAGTCAAATACGAAGCTGAGGTCAAACACAGGAAATCACAAGAGAATCACTAGGAGCACTAAACGAGGTTCTAACAGAAACCACAATATGGCAATGAATGGGGGTTAAAATAAGCCTTAAATAGACTTAACTATGTTCTAATAGTACCAAGTCATCACTGTGATCCAAAACAGATTAGGATTGCAACGATAACATGGTCACTTTAAGAGTGGGCGTAACGTCATGTCCACATCTATAGAAACACGGCCTGTCGCGCGGCCGCGTAGTTTAGTCAGACCGCGCGGCAGGAGGAGGTTTGCTAGGATCGAGAGAGGTGAATCTCCCTCAGTGTGCCACACGGTCGCGTGGCGCGGTCGGACCGCGTGGCAGGAGGGGGTCTGCGCAGCTCGGTGGAGGTAAGTAATGCCACAGTTCCTTAATTCCTGTATAATGTCCCTGAAATACCTTCTGAGTGCGTTTTTGTTATATATATATATATATATATTTTCGCTACACTTTCGCTACAATTTAATCAGAGCCAATACACTTTATTGGCAGTTTATCTGCTCCTGATAGGCATTTTGTTGGTTCGGATCGATTAAATAACCACCATCAAAGGACAACTATCAGCTCAAAAATATTTTTTAATTTAATAATCATCTTTTCATCAAACGTTGAAAGGAAATAGACTTTTTTTTTAATGTGTATGGCTAAAGGATACTGCTGTCATATAATAAAAATTCTACTTGCCCATTATCACCCACAGCAAGCAGACAAGTACACTATATAGACAAAAGTATTGGGACACCTGACCATTACACGAACGGGGTGTTTTATGATATCGCATTCTAAATACTTCGACATTAATATGTAGTTGTTCCCTCCTTTGCAGCTATAGCAGATTCCACTGTTCAGGGAAGGCTGTCCACTCCAAGATTTTGGAGTGTTTCTGTGGGAATTGTTCCAGTAGAGCATTAGTGAGGTCAGGCACTGATGTTGGATGAGAAAGCCTGGCTCGCAATCCCATTCCAGTTCATCCCAAAGGTGTTCAGTGGAGTTAAGGTAAAGCCTCTGATTGGGCTGATCAAGTTATTCCACCAAACCCATCCAACCATGTCTTGCTTTAGTGCACTGGGGCACAGTCATGCTGGAGTAAAAAAGGACCTTCACTAAACTGTTCCCACAAAGCTGTAAGCATAGCAATTGTCCAAAATGTCTTGGTATGCTGAATCATTGAAGCTTTCCCTTCACTGGAAAAAAGGGGACTAGCCCAACCCCTGTAAAACAAGCCCATACCATTATCCCTCCTCAATCAAACTTTGCAGTAGGCACAATGCAGTCAAACAGGTATCATTCTCCAGGCATCTGCCAACCAGACTCGCACATCAGACTGCAAAACAGAAAAGCGTGATTTGTCAATCCACATTTCCACTGCTCCAAAGTCCAGTGGTGGCGTGTTTTACACCACTCGATCCAACACTTGGCATTGTACTTGGTGATGTGAGGTTTGGTTTGCATGTAGAATGGCTCTGGTGTACCTAATGTACCACACAGGAGAGAGGGAGACAGACTAGCACTAAGCTGCTCGAAAACTGGTAATGATAGGGATTCACTAAAAACCTATATAGAACAAGGGAAAAGAACTCTCTAGAAGAGTGGGAATACCAGGAGCTGACTAATGGCTAAAATACTACTGCATAGAGAATAAAAATATAAAAATATATATATGGTACTATGCCTTTAAATCTGGAATGGACAAAGTATCCCTTGGCCATGGAAACCCATTCCATGAAGCTGCACAGTTTGTATACTGATATTAATGCCAGTGGAAGTTTGGCATTCTTCTGCTATGGAATCAGCATAGCACTGTCGACTTTTCCGCACCATGCAACTTTTGAGGTAACCAACAAGAGCTCTCTGAAAGGCAGTTGTCACTTCTCTGTAGACATGTATGGAAGGCATGTGGGGCGACTAGACATGCATGAAAGATGCATGGGGTGTTATATTCTCCCTCCCCCTCATTTATTCTTACCCGCTTTTTTTTCTCCCTTTTTCTACCTATCTTATTTGATCAGACCATATGACAAATGTATAGGGGCCAGAATGTACAGTGGACTTGAAATTTAAATAGGAGACTTTTAGTTTTTTTCCTTTTACATATATTGGAGGCTCAGACCTGCTGGTCCCATTGTGGACCATTGGGAGAGTTAGACTTTGTTCCTTCTCTTTAGTAAAAGGTGAATCATTTCACTCTGGTGAATATGGTAACACACACTGTTCTGGCAAATTACAAAAAAACTAGACTTCGAGATATGTTTTGTTTCGAACTTCAGTTCGTTAAAATCTGTACTGAAGCTGTTAAATTAGACTTTCAGACAATAAAAAGTATAAATAGATTTACTATTATCTTTTATCTTAAACACAGAAACAAAGGCTGCGCCTGAGATATACACAGATATTCTAAACAACGACTGATATTAGGAAGGATTCTTTGGAGTGGATAAGAAATGGTAATATAAAATATGAAATGCCAGGAGATTTTTTTTCTTCCATTTAATTAAGCCTATTGGTGAAACATGTTATGGATGTTACTACTTTGTATTTTGTTTAAATTAGGTTTTTTTGGTCACTCTACCTGTGCCAATTACCTTTTTATTTCAAATCTCCTGGCATTTTATATTACCATTTCTTATCCAATACAAAGAATCCTAGGTGGGTATTCATTATTCAAAGAGCAGTTGGTCTGCTCTATCTTTGTGAGTATATATCTTTTATTAAATTTGTAACAATATTTGTATAATTCAGAGAGCACTATTTGTTTCCTTTTATTTTTGCTTCTGGAATCTTTCCTATTGAGGACTTTCACATCATACCCTGTAAATGGGGATTATACCACTGCACACCATATACGCTGGAGCTGGCTATAGCTCCACCAAATGTGAGCAACTCCTCGTTATTTTTACTACCTCCACTCTGATCATATTGATATATTGCACTATTGGAGTCTTTTCTACTTTTGTCTTTCTATGCTATATATGAATTACATCAAAGAACTTTGAGCGCCTGCATACCTTTCTAGATTGTTCTGCTCTGGTCCTTTGACCACTTGACTTTAAGGTATTTTATTCAAAACATTTTATCAGGACCATTTTTAGTACATCAATAGTCCTTCGTAATACAAGTCGTTGTTTACAATATTTGTGTATATCTCAGGTGCAGCCCTTGTTTCTGTGTTTTTGCTTTTCCCATTCACTAAGGGTCTGAGAGGTATCCCTTAATTTGGATTGCTGCCCTTTTGCCTTTTGTTAATTAGCACTGATCCTTCTGTTGTTTGTTTCCTTGTATCTTTTATCTTAGACTGGGAAGATATACTTCCCTTCGAAAGGTTTTCTGCATATATTTGTACTATCATGATTTTTTTCCTCTGGACAATCCATGGAGCATTGTGGTAATTTTTTCAGAGAAAATTTCCACACGTGAGTCAAATGTCTACAGATAGCAAAACAACTAAAAAAATAATCAAATCATTCAAATGTCAAATAATATGGAGAAACGTATAAATTGTCACGTGATTGAGAAATATTGCTTAATATAATGGCAAGGATTTGCAAACATGATCAGAACATGATCAGAACAGCACAAAAGGTTATTCACTTAATCTAGTGACTCATACTTTCATTTGGTTGGGAGATGTAAGAAAAACATTAGTATTAAAGGAGCACTATAGCGTTAGCAATACAAATTTTTAACAATTTAGTGTCCATGTCCATATCTAGAAAGGTGCCATCCTCCTTTTAACATAGACAATGAAACAAAAAAGTGTTTTTACTAACTTTTTTCCAGCACCGAGGATCCCTCCACGCTGCTTACCTCTCCTCATTCCACAAAAACAACAAGGAGGCATGGCCTCCTTCAGAGTTAGTCCAATCCAACACTCTTCACAGAGGAGCATTTTGGACCTAATGCACATGTCAAAGCTCTCCCACATGACTCTGTTGCTGCAGTAGGAAGCGCCTCTAGTGGCTGTCAGTGTGAAATTGAACAGCACATAGTGATGTATTTTAAGCACATCCTGCCTGAGGATCATCAGAAAAATCAAGCCACTAACATGAAGTGGCTAAAGAGATTACCAAACAGCCTATGAGGAAGTTCTCTGTCTGAAGAAGAGGAGCTGATTGGGACTAAATGCAAGACTCTTGGGATGATTCTCCAATCAAGAGCAAGGGCAGGTACTATATAAAGGACATTTGGGGGGTTTAGGACTATACATTGAACTGTATACTATTACTTGCTGATTTTTATCCATGAGTAAGTCCACCCTGTGTGGAAGAAACGCGTTGGATATTTGTGTTTTAATGTTCATTTGTTTTTACTACTTTTTTGACTATTGGAGGATTATTATTGCCTAAATAAATGTGTATTTGTTCCTGACTCCATCTTCTGAGATTTTTGTTTCTTAAAAGAAAGGACAGTGGATTACCATAGCCCTTTCAGGGCTGCAAGGTGGTCATTTATCTTACATCTTGTGAGTGTAATCTACCTCATTAATTGTATATATTACAATACATCACTATGTGCTGTTCAATTTATCTTTTTTAGTTACCAAGCTGTATCCCAGATTTGTGTATGTATTCCTGTATGTTTAACCCTGCAATGTAAAACCTTAAATATTGTTGTTGTAAGGGACACCACAGAGGAAGGCCTCTTGGGCAGCTACACTACATTGAGTTAAGTACTCTTGCTTATACCTCACTTAACACTTATTTGGTGTAGGGGGTGGTGTGTTAAACATACAGGACCACTACACGCAAGCCATTACATCAAGATAAAGTGGCCTGGCCAACTTTAGTGGTCCTTTAAACCATGTGAAGACAAATAAACACAAAGTAAAATGGATGGAATGCCTAGACTATCCAAAGAAACTTTTAAACAAAAGATATGTATAGCAAAAAAGAAAAGTGTGTTTTATACCAACACTGCTATTATATCTGTCATGCTGTCCTAGGAGAAGTAAAAAACCAAGGCAGTCCATTGTACAAGATGAGAGCGTGGAGACACTGAACACCAGTGCTGCACACTGAGCATCACTGGACTAGAAAGTACCTCTAGTGGCCTTTTCTCTGAAAAGGCAGTGTTTACAGTGCTAAGACTGCAGGGAAAGGCTGTAGTGGTTCTGGTGACTATTGTGTCCCTTTAAATCCTGTTTTAAGTAAGCGATCTTGCAAGTCAGCATTATAAGCTGAGGTAGAAATATCCCTGAAAGACTTCAACACCTTACACCTTGTCATCAGAACAAAAAGTATTTTGGAGTGACTTTGGGTACAGTTACTGCATCAATATCCAGGGAAAATGTATTTTATCCTTCATAGTCAAGAGAAAAATGAGAAGAGTTGGGGGTCCAAGCAATTATTCTCAGACATCAAAAGATATGTCTGCCATAAAGGTTGACATGGCCAGGGGTCTGTCTCTATTAGGATGCTTTAAGTCCCCTGTAGATCGCAAGATACAATGTTATTCAGAATTTTTTTTTTTAATTTTTATATCTGCCTTTGCCATCGTAGGAGACTTAGTATGTCATGGTACTGCTTTGTAGACACGTTTTCCTCTTCCTTTCTAAGTGCATATTGTGTTCCAAATGTCTGCTTTGCTCTTAGCGTTTTGGTTCATCTGAAGAGCTGTGTTTGTTCCACATACTCGCTTAATATTCTTCACAGAATAACTTCAGAGGCCACTAGGGTATTGTAAGTAAATCAATGACTCCAAGCACGTTGTGGCTCGGAGTCGGGGACTGTGTATGTGATTAGAGGGCAGAGTTTACAGGGAATAGAGAAGGGATCTTATGAAATTGTAAGAGCTTCTTTTGAAGCTGAGTGTCTTACTCGTGAATTGTGATGTTGGAACCCTAAAACAGAGCAACACAGAAAATAAAAAATATGACAGGGAATGTCTTACTACAGACAGCACCAGAACCTGTTAGTGTGAGGATATCACCTCTGCTGCTAGTGTGGGTTGCAGTGCATTCCTGCTTCATATTCCAATGCCGTGCTGTACATTTCAGTACTATTAACCCTGAGTGCTTACTTAGTGACCCAGAGCTACAGATAACATTGGATTTATTCACTGATTTGTACAGGGGTGAGAGCATCATGGCTATTTTGAGCCCTGGAATTGTGTGGACATATATATTACATGGAGACATTATCATGAACCATGAGACATAATTTTGGTTCTTCATAACTAAGACTGGGGCTATGGCAGCTTTATCGTTAGAGCAGCATCAGAATAAATATATTTCTTCTGCCCAAGACTGGTGAGACTGGGAAACAGCTGTCAGTTCTACCGAGATAGGATTTCATACACTGTGCAGGGTCAATCACAATGTCAAATATTTTTAGTGTGACATCACACATCACGCAGTATGGGATTTGAAAACATACTTTTGTCGATCATAATGGGCATATCATTTTTACCTCTATTATTTTACCAAAACAAGTTTTCGGAGGGAACGATTATTCTATGCTTAACTGAGAATTACATTTCTTTCGTAATTTTGTTGCTGTGATTCACTGATTGTTCAATAACAAAAGTAGATAGTTAGATGTATTTTATTAGTGTATTAGTCAAGTAGTAGGACTACTCCAAATCAAACTGCATATGCATATGGCATTGCTCTGTGCTGGAGGCTCTATACGATAATCAACGGTCTGCATGGATGAATGAACGTGCTACTTAAAGGGTTTGTCCAAGCACAATAACCACTTAAATTGATTTGAAGTAGTCATGGTGCTTGGAGTCTGTATGTGCAGTGTTTTACAATGAAATGCTGCATTCAGAGAGATATAGCACTTTGCTAACGGTGGCGTAACTCCACCTTGGGCACCGTCATTATGATATCATTAGCCAGTTCAGAGTTACAGGCTGACTGATGTCAATTCTGTGCACAATACAAACCATTGTCTGTAAATCTATCAATAAATAGGACTATACATAGGATACAAGGTCACACAATTAGGAAAGGGTTTTTTTACAGTAAGAACAATAAGGATGTGGAATTTTCTGCCTTAAGAGGTGGTTTCATCAGAGTCTGTACAGATGTTTTAACAGCAATTGGATAAATACTTGCAAAACATAATATACAGGGATATATATTTTTTTTTAATTACTTGGGTAGTTACTTCTTGATCCAATGAGATATCTGACTGCTATTCTGGGGTCAACAAGGATTTTTTTTCCTAGCTTGTTGCACAATTGGAAACACTTCAGACTGGTTTTTGTTTAGTTTTTTTGCCTTCTTTTGGATTAACAGCAAAAACAAATGTGAAAAAAGGCTAAACTTGATGGAAACATGTCTCTTTTCAGCTAGGTAACTATGCCACTTTGTTACTTGGGACTGTTTTCAACTGTATCCAGTTTTTGTGTCTGTACTGTTCTTGTTTTGCGAGTTCTCTTCTCATTTGCTATCTTTTGAAGTATTTGTTTGAGAGTTCTCTTCCAGATTGCAATTCAATCACGTCTCATCAACAATATTTTTAAGTATGCTACCAAGCTAATGCCAGTCTAATCAGTCTCAGAAATCGTAGAATAGTCCTAAAACAGCATACTGATATAAGATATCTATTACAATCTTCTTTCCATAAACTTACATTTAATCTATTTTATATTGCGTTATTAGTTTATAAGTCAGTATTTGCACAGAAGGTACATGTGGTTGCATCACCCTCATGATTATGAACTGTCAATTCTAAGAGAATTGGAAATTGGAAACATTTGACTGTTGGTTTCTCTTAAAATCTAAACTTGGTATTTTTCACAGTGTATACAATGATATAATTACAATATAAATATAAATGATGGGTAGGAAATTGTGAGTTACTTTCTGTTATCTCTTGGCTTAAATGCTAAAAAGTTAAGTATTCCCTAAAAATTGATTAAAATAATTTTGAATTTGTCTGCTGGGCAGATGCTTCATAGAATTTCCCTGAAACACTATTAAACAGTTATTGATGCGAATCAGGTTCAACTTTGTTTGAAAGATATGATATTTTTATTTGCGTGTTTGAAATTAAATAAGTATCAGCTACGAGGATTCTGGGAAAACAAAACGAGTTTGTATATGACAGCCTCAAATTCATGTATGTGTACAAATAAAAGATGGATCACATGGTAACGTTACTTAAGTAATGATACATCATTTTCAATGTTACATCATTTAGAATACATATTAAAGCTAATATTATAATTAACTTTTTACCTTTCAGTGAAAAGGAAAACAAAAATTACTATTTTAGTAAAAAGAAAAAAAAAGTGATGTTGAATATTTTATCTTTTGTATTTTACAAGTAAGGTCACCTGATGGCACATCTGGCAGAGAGGGATTTGCTGTCAACATATCTGTGCACCCCAAGCCAATCAGTGACAGCTATCATCATGATAACCATTGCACCAAACTGTAATGATTAGGTTGTTTCGAGACCCCTTTACATTCTGCTAATTGGATTTAAAAATAGTTGTTCAGCGAATAGACACTTTGAAATATTTACCAGAACAGCTGACTTTGGTGCTTCCTTATAACTATTTGGGTTCCAAAGGGTTAATAACAGCTTTTTTATTCAAAGGGTTAAAATCTGTTCAGTACCGTGACAGGGATGCACTGCCTTTTGCTGATATTAAACAAATACTGAAGCGCTATTTATTCTGCAATACCAATGTGGCATACACATATTAAGCAACTGACATGTTTCATACTGAAACATAGATGTACACTGCTCAGGTTTAAAACGCAAGTATCTTAACATTTACATGTCATTTTATCCTTATTCCAGATGAATTCTTAGAACCTTAGTGATTGTATGTTAGATGATAAACACATTGCTGCTATCATTGTTTTCTGGAAGGTTTGAATGCTATTCATTTACAATTATCTTGTAAGCTCTTTCTAGTGCTCAGTCACCCCCGGATTTTCCCCTTATTACTTTTTAACTATCTGACGCACTCTTAAGAAACAATCATAGTTATAGAGAAAAAAAACTGCAATCATCCTGCAAGAGTATGCTCACTGCAGTGCATAATAACACATGTACTATCCCATCTAGCAAAGCATCCCTGGAGGGCAGGAGAGTATAATTATCCCCAGCACACAGACCATCCTCGGGTGGTTTGCTTTGTGTTCTAGAAAAAAAAAAAAAAGAATGTTTACAAACCAATGGCACACAATGTCACGGTACTGAACAGATTTTAACCCCTTGAATAAAAAAGCTGTAATTAACTCTTTGGAACCCAAATAGTTATAAGGAAGCACCAAAGTCAGCTGTTCTGGTAAACATTTCAAAACATTTTCTCAAATCCAATTAGGAGAATGTAAAGGGGTCTCGAAACAACCTAACCATTACAGTTCGGTGTAATGGTTATCCTGACAAGAGTTTCTGAGCGCTGTCCCTCATTCTTATTTATTGTTTGTTAAACCGTTTAGGAGTGATATAACAAAAACCAAGGCTCTACGTGGCATCTTAGCAATGTCACTTTAATCCAATGACAAAAACAGTTATTGGCTGAGAGAGCTAACTCGCCCCTAGAAAATTGGTCCCCAACTCAGTCCTCATGGCCCACCAACATTTCAGGTTTTGTCAGGATCTCCATTTGAATAAAAAAGAGAAATAAAGAAACCCTGGACTTTTGGTGGCCATGAGGACTGGGTTGGGGACCACTGCCCTAGATCTCTCAGCCTGTTACTGCTCATCAGGTTGGACAGAACTGATATTGATAATACAGAAGTGGAACTCTAGATTATCAGTGCAGTGGAAGAAGAGATCTTTGTGTGCCATGAAAAGTCCTGTTTTTTCTTAACCTGTTCTCAAACGAGAGATCCATAGTACCAATATCACTTCAATCATCTACAGCAGGGGTAGACAACTCTAGAAATTGTAGACTACATCTCCCATAATGCTTGTTAAGTCTTAATACTAGCAATGCATCAGGGAAGGTGTAGTCCACAATATCTGGAGTGCCGAAGGTTGCCTACCCCTGATCTAGAATGTAAGAAAAAATAACCAAGATTAGAAAAAAATCTACCACTTATCTGAATTCTACATTTTTCTCTCTCGCTGGCCACTTTGGCTCACATTTCGTAAGGTGGATGTCAGCGTATTTAAAGCTCTAATATTTCCTGAACTACTTATGTCAAGATAAATATAAGGTACCCATTCACTCCATGATTTCTCAGGAAGAGTGCAAGGATATTCAGAGTGAACTGTTTAAAAATATGAATTACCGACTGTGTAAGACTTTTCAAGAACTGAACAACTCTGCCGTGTACTAATGTCATGTAAAGTATAATTTATGTGATGGTTGGAAGTGAAGCCTCATGATATTTGGAAAATAATTTCTTTTAGTTTCTTTAGAAAGGAGCAGTAACGATGAACAATGAAGTACTTACAAATTTAAGGCACATAAATCACAAAAAAAGTTTTTAGAATGGTCATACAAATTAGCATTAGACTTGATAAAAGATCTGTCTATCGATCTATCTATCTCTATATGTCTGTCTGTCTATGTGTGTCAAAAGATAGTTTAATAGACAGATAGCAAAAATATACACAAAAGTATAATCACTGAAGATCACACAGGCAAATTTTTGATTCATTTTCTTATGAACAAGTTTTAGTTCTTAAATTTAATGCTTTGATAAAGGTTCAAGTGTACAGCCGAGACTTGATGCATTAAACCTGACTTTTTCTCTTTTGAATACAATTATATTCTTCAGCACTGATGAGTACATTTACGTTTACCTGATTGAATGGCACGTGACACTGTATTTTATTTAAATGCTCAATTATTGAGAAGGTTTGCTTTTGAGATACATATAATGCAATCATTGCCATTTTATACATATTGAATGCACAATCCTTCTCATTTGACAGGTGGCTGGTTGTTCCCTATACAAACTGATGGTAGACATACTACCCCTGCAAATTCTAACTTTCCCATTGCATCTGCTTATGCTCATATTTTCAGCTATTCAAATTTACCATATGGTTCAAAGTTGCTTTATAGGGACACTTCACTGTTCAAATACAAAATAAATAAAAGTCACCGTTTAGCATACATACCCTAAATGAAAATGTGCATGCATTAAATTATGCATTTGCTCATTTGTGAAATAAAAAAACAGCTTGAAAAACCTGCAGATCTCTTGTTTTCAGGCTTTGCAAACCCTCCCCATCTGACTCCGCCCACACTTTCTGCGGCTGTCCAATCATAGATTTCCCAATGCAGCTCAATTATAAGCCTTTGCAAGGCAGGTGCTATGGGCAATTGCTGCCTCTTAAATGTACACTCCAGGTACCAAGACCACTTCTGCCCATTGGAGTGGTCTGGGTGCCAATTCCCACTACCCTTAACCCTGCAAGTGTAAATGTTGCAGATTTCATAGACTGCAATATTTACCTTGCAGCGTTAACTCCTCCTCTAGTGGCTGTCTAATAGACAGCCACTAGAAGGCACTTCCGGGTTTATAGCACACATTTCGTGTGCCATAGCGTCGCTGGACGCCCTCACGCTATGTGAGGACCTCTAGCGTCGCTGAAATCCCTGTAGGAAAGCATTTTCAATGCTTTCCTATGGGGAGGTCTAATGCGCGTGCATGGCATTGCCGCGCATGTGCATTAGGTCTCCCCCTGCCAGCAGCCGCTTATGTGCAATAGGTCTCCCCGCCGGATGACTTTTGCGGTGGAGGAGCATGGGCGGACCCTGAACCAGCGCCGAGCGACATCGGCGCTGGATACAGGTAAGTCACTGAAGGGGTTTTAACCCCTTTAGCAACTTGGGATGGGGGGTGGGAGGGAGAGGGGATCTGCAGTGGAACCTACAGTTTGTTTTCCTGGCACTGGAGAGTCCCTTTAAGTTCAGCTCCACTGATCTAACCAAACCAGGATGCCACATAACCTGTATTCTGATTGAAAGCCAAGTGAGTGTTACCAGGTTTATTTATAAAAGTGCCAATTTCTACTGAACTTTGTACATTTAAAAAAAATCAAAAAACAAGCACACAATCTTCACACAAAGTTTTTCAGCAAGCTAAAGTTCTTTAGGGGTATGAAATGACTTTTTAAAGAAACAATACTATTCTGCCAGAGTCCTACAGAAAATGGTTAACATTTCATCTTGTATCGATATTTGTAATACACCGGCACAGAAAGAGTTAACCAAAACTGACTCTTTAATAACATCACGCAGAGTTCTATTGATGCTACATACTATACGATAGCTTATGCACAGCAGGAAAAATATATTTTCACACTTGCTGAATAAGGGGATTACTAAAAATATCTTCAGAGAGAACACAGAAATCTCATAACAATGTATGTCACAGAATATGTCAACATTTTGTAAGTAAAAAAACAATAATAACATAATTATTTAGCCAAAATTTACATCCTCATTGTTCTTCCTAAAGTGCAAGATATTGTTCAATCCCATGCTGCACCTGTGATGATATTTTAACAGTTATGGGGGAGATTTATCAAGCCAAAAACAGGTGCTGTTCTGGGGCAAGCTGCTATATAAGGAACAATCGCCATGGAAACCAGTAGAATGTCTCTAAACATGTAGCACTTTGCACCTGCAATAGCACATGTTTAGCCTTGATAACTCTCCCCTGGTATTGTAAATTGTTTTGTAAGGATTTCATTATACCATAAATCAGCCTGTTGGAATAGTTTCAAGCTTTTAAGCAGTCAATAAATTATTAAGTAATATTAAATCGGTGAAACTGTTGGAGTTCTGAACAGCAAAATGGACATTACAAAGTTTCAAAGATGTACTGTATTGAAGTCCTCATTTAAAACATAGAAATGTGTCTTGTGGCAACAGATAGTCTATTGCGTCTTGACTATGAATAATCAAACTGATTCCGCTTACTTATTGTTCAGAATAGCGATATGCATATATCAAGTATTAAAAACATAAACTGTGTTAATGTTTACCACCTCCACTGAGTCTCAATACCAGGTATCTACTATTCTTTCCATAACATTTTTTTCTTGCATGTACTTCACAGTCTTCCTTCCCAACATACCCCCTTGTTCTTCTCTTTTTTCTAAAAAAATACTTACATTTAAAATATTTATTTTACATGTATTTGAAAGTCTCAATCATTATCTTTTTTCTTCTAAAATGTAGATTTTAAGATGTCAGAGCTTTCCACAGTGATTGTCCTTAAAATTTGTTGCTATGCCTTTTTGAAGCCATTGTCTTTAGAACGGATTATATAAAAAACATTTAGGAGCAACCTTGCTCTCTTCCCTTATATCAACATTTAACACACCATCCTTCATTTCTATGTACAAATCATACATGACAAAATGAATACATTATCTATTTGCTAATTCCACTCACCTGGAATTTGACCGATTGCAAGCTCTTCGTACAAGTCTTAGGATCAAACCCTTTGTACTTTGACACTTACCATTGAGAATTATAATGATAAAGAAATGCTACTAATGACTAATAACCCTTGTAGCCTATAAAAACTATAATTGGAACCCAAAGGGGAGTTATGCGATGAAGAATAGATCAGGACAACAATACAGATTACACTAGCGTTTTACAAACAAACAACACAAATGATGCCTTATAACATATTTACCTTTCCGAACACATGCTCATTCGTCTGAGCTGTTTTCCAAAACAACTGTGGACTCCAGGATCTGTTATAATAAACTCCAATGGCATGTCTGAAGAAAACTTTTCTTGTTTTCAATGAAAACGCAATTACTCTGCTGGGTTATCTGGATAATACAGTGTCTTTTTCCAAATCTTTTTAATAAAGCCTCCTGTCCCAAAAGAACGAGTAGCCTTAATGGTTTCTAAACCTGGCTTGGATTTAATTTTCCCAGCAATGTTTGCATCCTGTATATAGTGAAGATTAAGAAGCCAGCTGGGTTGTTGTCTGGTGAATGGTCTGCTGAGATTCTGAGTGCTTTATAGAAGTTCACTTGTTCTGAGCTTATAGCTAGAAAAGAAATCTGTCTGCATTTGCTCCACCTCAGTACGAGGGAGGGAGACTGCTGAAAAACAGAAAGGGAAAGAGGAGGAGGCGGACAAAAAAAAAAAAAAAAAAGAAGATGATCTTGCAAATTACAGGCAGAGAGAGAATATAGGCATTCACAGAGAGATTTTTTTTTTTCTTTAAAAAGAGGTATCAGGGAGGAAATTCAAAATAAACTATGGTTATGTTCGATACAAAAAAAAAAAAAAAAATGACCTGTGTCTTAGATGTGCAGTAGCTTCTATTGATGTGTAAATAATGTGTACAGAAAGCATTTCTTTGGCTATAATTTAGAACTGATAAATAAAGCCTATCATATATTGGCCTTGATTTTTTTTTTCTTATTGATTGATGTATATTATGCACTCTACAGCAAAGAAATAAACCATTATTGTGTTGTATATATTGAACATATTTACATATTTTGGACATAAATGGTCACGTGTTAACATGTGGGTAACGGTGCACAAATGCATGCAAACGGCATATAAATTGGTCATCAGTGTCATGCCAGTGACAGCCTTGGTAAATTCCTTATTGCTCTGGCTTTTAAAAGGTCTAAAGTGTAATAAGGTGACAATTTGTCTATAGGGCTCTTATTTTTGTAATTTAAATTGTATAATAGTTGACAGATCCTCATGTATAGCGATATGACAAAAGAACTTGTAGACAAATTGTAGATGAAAGATAAAAAAAAAAAATTCAGCTGCAGAGCATCCCAGCCAATAAGAGGAGAAATTATTTATTCCCACTGTAAAGTGCTGCGGAATTTGCTGGCGCTATATAAATAATAACATAATAATAATAATAATAATAATAATAATAATAATAATAATAAATTTGCTGCCAATTCTTTTCCACAACACTGTCATTTTTGGATTGGGGGAAAAAGGTTCCTACACCTTGTAATAAGAAAACATAATCCTTACGAAAAGGAGTTCTCAGCACTAATTAAACCATCTGTGATTTAGCAAATTCAAATAAAACGGCTTTAATTGTTTCTTAAAATTATTTTATAGCAGTAATTATTTTCTAATCTATATCCGCATATAGTTTGGGCATGAGCAAATCAAAAACCACTAATCCATCCCCTAACTTGGTGCAGACATGTTCACTTACGATTCATTGTTCTAAGGCATTTGCCAATCCAAATTGATTATTATTCTCAAATTGAGATTTCCGCGTCAAAACTGGCATCCCATAGTCAAAGTCAGCAGAGCACCATTTTCACAAAGCCGCGTCATTCTGGTTCCTGGGACCTTGGCGCTCTTGTATAGGTTGGCGTCCTAAATTTATACTGCACATGTGTAAAACGGATGCAAATATAATGCACGAGTTCTGGCCTATATGTATATCCATGTCTTCTTTAGTCCACTGCCCTTGATACTTTACAGACTTATTGCTTTGTATTTTGATTGATATTGAGCCTGAGTTCTCTTGCGCCTTTTTAGTTTTCTCTGTTCCTGACCAATCTTTGACTTTGAGTTTTTTGTTCATATTATGCTAAGACTTAATCTCACCAGTCTAACATTAAGGGTGGCCACTCTAAGGTCTGGTAATACTATGCCTTCCATACATCCCGATTTTGGTGCAACATTCCTGATTTTTAGGTCCTGTCTCACTGTCCTAACTTCGTTCCCTGGTGGACTGCTTTTGGCGATAACATGGAACGTTCCCCAAAAAATGTAGCATGAATGCAGCATAAGACATACTTCTGCTTCACTCAGGGCTCCAGTACCCTACAGAAAGCACTAAAACAATGCTCCTTGCATGTTCTGTCTTCAGAGGACTGGCCTGCTTATGGGCAGGCAGCCTGGCATGAATTTATACCAGGCTGGTCTGCCAGCAATTCTGCCAGACTTACTCCCTTTGCGGACAAGATCTCCTCACCAGCCCGCTGGCACTTCCAGCAGATGGAGGGAAGGTCCGAGGAGGCTTTGTGTTCCTTCCATGAGCAGGCTGGTTGGAGCATTGCCGCGTGTTACCATGACAACGCTCTGATACAGTGCCGTGCTGGCAAGAGTACCGGAGAGTCATCCTGCAGCCGGAGGAGCTGTAGGCTAAAGTGAACATGCCACCATTTGACCTCCAGGGCTTGTAGCATTATGTCCCCCCTCCCTGGTAAAAGGTGAAAAGAAGGGAGGGGGAGACATTGAGATAGATTTTCATATCTCACCCACCTACATACAACATAGACCCTATGCACCCTTCACACACAAACACACACTACATACCTCATACACCCACACTGCCCTCCACACACACACAGACTGCCCCCTTCACACACACACACACACAGACTGCCCCGTCACACATACACTATATCCCTCCCACAGACAGGCACACAGACTGCCCCCTCACACAGACTGCCTTCTCACACACACACACACAGACTGACCCCTCACACAGACTGACCCCTCACACAGCCTTCAGCCTCACACAGACTTCAGCCTCACACACACTGCTCCCCTCACACACACTGCCCCCTATACACACTGCTTCCCTAACACACACACACACAGACTGCCCCCAAACGCACACTCCACCCCTCACACATACACTGACTGCCCCCTCACACACACTCACACTGTCCCCTCACACACACTGGTCCCCTCACACACACACTTCTCCCTCACACATGCACTGTTTCCCTAACACACACACACAGACTGCCCCCTAACATACACTACAACCCTCACACACACTCCACCTCTCACACACTGCCCCCTCACACACGCACTACCCCTTCACACACGCACAGCACTCTTCACACACACAGCAAGCCTCAAACACACACAGTACCTCTCTCACACACACACAGCACCCTTCATGCACACACAGCACCCTTCACACATACAGCACCTCCTACACACGTAGAAAAAAAGTAGAATAGAAAATAGAAAAAAAAAAGATTAATTTAAGTACATATTTTAAAAAAAGGAAACGCACACACACAGCACAGTCCTCATACAATATAAGAATGATATGCAGTTGGCTGTCTGTAACCTTCAACCTGTGATGTACATTAAAAAAAAATAAAAAATTGTAAGGTACCCCATGGTGTAACTTAAGGATATAATGAGAAAAACAAAAAGAAACAGAAAAATTCCAGCCAATTTTAGTGTTATTCATCGTAAATCCTGATTTACTTTTATGAACATTGAGCAGTCAGGTAATATTTGAGGTAGAATAAATTAAGAAAATGCAATTCAGTTGGACACTTGCTTGAGGTATGGCAAAACAAAGGTATACATTAAAATGTAAATTGTTATTAGTTTAAAGAAATGTGAAAGTATTTCCTGGGTAAACACTAATCTGTGAAAGGGTAATACACTATCTGAGAATCCTTTGTGGGATGACTTGCAGATATAGGAGGAATTAAGATCACCCTAGTAATGAGTAATAAAAAATGGTCCCAGTTCCTCCAGGTAATTAGAAGGAATAAAAGAAACGTTTTCTGTATTATTATTATATGTTTTCTATTATTCTACATTGAAACCTTTGTAAGGGCAATAGGGTTAATGTAATAACTGAACAGGGAGACATGTATTTTTCTCTATCATTTCTATGCAAATTGCTGTAAAATTAATTTGATATTTAATTCAGTTTTTTCAAACACTTCTCAAGAGTACTTATCTCTTACTAATGGTAATAAGCTTAATTAAAAAAAAAAAAGTTTTTTTAAATCTCCTGATGACGCCAACTTCACACACAGATAAAACCTATAACAGTGTGGGAAATGAAAGAGTCTGAGGAAATTGTAGCACCCTCTTATTGCAAAAAGGCGTGTCTGGTGAAAGGTTTTAAGGTCCAACTGGTGTACAAAGTGTTTTAGGAGAGATCTTCTTGAAATAAAGTGATAGTATGACTCTCAAAAAGAATTGGGACTGTATATAAGCAGCCTTGATTAAAATGTCCTCTTTAATCAGATAGCGAAACAGGCAACAAACAATGTCAGAGAAACAAGAGGTCCGAGTGCTCTTTTGGCTTGTTCAAAATAATAATTTGCGGCTGTTCATTTTTTAAAATTAATTTGATCTGGCCGTGGTATCATTCAGCACAGTATTTCCTTCTTCTGCAGTTTTGAGACCATTGTATAAGATTGCAGTAGGAAGAGGAGACCTATGCAAAATAGAACAGTTGGCTTACGACTACAAATAGGCATCAGTGGCCCGGAAATCAAGATCCTCATCTTCTAGCTTAGTCCACTTGTGCTTTAATGAATAAGAATCAGATGGCAGATTTTGTAGACTATCTATCTCCTATTCTACCTTCTCCCCTTTAAACTCAATTTTAAAAAACTGTTCTGTTCCTTCTTCCACTCTTAACTCCTTCTCCCATGTCTCTGAACAGGGAGTCCGTATATTTGTTCTACGTTCTAAAAGAGAGAACTAAGTGTCATAAAGGTCGGTACTCACTTACCTGTTCGGGGCAAACCCAGCATCGATGAGGTCAGAAGGCAGTAACTCAAGTTCCTCGGCTTCATCCCGGCCTCCTTCAGCCTCTGCTGTCCCATTCATTGTCGGAGGACATGTGGTGGCCCATCTGTGTGGATAAGATATTGGTCGCCATGTGGGAATCTGGTCCAGCATGGCCATCAGGATGGTGGGTGGAGTCTGGGATGGAATTAGGACCATGATGCGTCCAAAATGGTGCTGAGTCCCAGGAAAACATTTATAAAGATATGTAACTCCCCTTGCTGGGAGAAGAGGATGTGATTTATCTGACCTTTATATTCCACTTCCTCCCTCAAGTCATTGCTCAGTTTTTCTGTAGCCTAGTCTCAGTTTTATAGAGTATCCTTGTGACTAGGGAGCTTTCAGGCGTGCTTCTGGTTACCGGTATTTTGGATTTTTCCCTAACTTTGTTTCCAGCTGCTTGCCCTGACCTCCAGACTGCCTTTGACTCTGCTTCTCTGTTTTGCCCTTTTTGGATTTTATGCTTGGCTATTCCACTCCTTAAAAACCACCCGTGCCATCATTGAACCCTGTATACCTTGTTTCTACTTCCAGTGAACCTTGTGGGTTGTGCTTGTAAGTGAATAACCCCCTAAGTAGTAATGTTTTTTTCTGTTTGCTTCTCTGCTCAATTTTTAGTTTTTCTGTTACAGTATTTTACATTTGCTGGCTCTAAGTGCTCTTTTACAGAACATGCTATACCTTAACCCCTTCCCATCTTTAGGTTGTGCTATGCCATCCTACAAAACAAGGGTCTTAACATTGTTCTGTCAGCTTTGCATGCCCTAACGATCAGGCCCTCCCTCCATACCAAATACTAACCCTCCTCACTGGGTCCAATTGAGGGGACTGCCTAACAATCCAGTAAGTTTTCCAGCAGCAAATCATGCCAATCCAAGTCATGTCATCACGGTGTCATCACAGAGAATTTAATTTACAAGCCTTATATTTGACCCCACCGCTTTCTAAAACCCTATAAACCCTGTACATTGGGGCAGGGACCATCCTGGGTGGGTGCAAAAAGTCGGATAGGCAAAGTCGGCAGCGCTAGGCTCCACAATATCATGTTATGTCCTGTCCCCTCTCATTTGGTTCTGTCGTCTCATGATTGACACCATGCAGCAGAGCTACAAGGAAAAGGTTACAAGCTGGGACATAATGTTCATTCTGCCATACAGTCTCAAAGGCAACATGCACCCAGCAAACCAGTCTGGCAAATTTTAATGTGTAAAAACTGAAATGGGTAATTTCGTTTTTGATCCAGTAACTTCCCACAACTCCATAAAAAAATCTGTACATGGGGTGCATCGTTGTACTCATAGTACATCACAGTATGTGTATTTTATTGCAGTAAAAGCTAACGGTATTATGACATTCACAGTTAAATTGCCTCGCAGAACATCGAAAATTAGAAAATAATTTCTCAAACATTTTTAGACTGTATTCATATAAGATTGCGTTCCATGCATAAATATTCAATATGAAATAAAAGTACTAAATCTCCAGAACAAAATGATATATTATAAGTGTGGATGCACTTAATATGTACATTATGGTTGAACAGACATGGTTGAACAGAGCTTCAATTCTTTTGTTTTGGTTCAGAACAATTTCCTCCGTCCTAAATGCATTAAGAATAATGCCACCTAAAAGCGCTTTCATAAAAAGCTGACCATTCTTTCTACAAATCCCAATGTACCCCACATTTTCTTTTTCTAAAACCATTTAGAAAATCATTTCCTCGCACTCTATATTTCCCACTAAAGACCACTTGAAGGATCCAAAGGACCAATAACTAAACATACCCAATTCAATGGGGAGCTAATGCTCCTATTTCAAATATCCCTTGATAGTATCATTATTTTTTTTTTATAAGTGAAAACATCTCCCGTTAATGTAAAATGAAAAAGCAATATAGCAGAGAAATCAAAGAAGCCTGACAGAATGAGATCTTATTTTCTATAGCAAGTTAACTCACAGAAGTGAGAATATTGACTAAACCGGGAATTGTAGTGAATTGAAAAGGGAATTGCAAATTTTAGGACAAATTTGTCCCTGTCTCTTGATTGTAAAGCAGCCATAGCGTTGCTGCTGAGAAGTACAATAGCATGCACTGCACCACATGAATGAATAGCTCTTGAGCTGTAGATGGCGCTGTTTAATTCGGGTTACTATTTGTATATCCCTGTAAACTTGTTAGTTTACTCACAGGAAGGAAGTTCTGTTTTGCTCTCTGTAGCTCCTCCCATTTTTATTATTTTATTTTGTGTTCTGACTGGTGTTTCAAATAACAGTTGTGTTCTTAATGCTTGCTGTTTAATCCACATAAGTAAAGCTTAAAGAAACACTATAGTATCCAAAAAACTTTAGCTTAATGAAGCAGTGTTGGTGCATATGTCATGCCCCTGCATTCTCACTGCTCAGTTCTGCCATTTAGGAGTTGAATTACTTTGTTTATACAGCCCTAGTCACACCTCTCAGAGACTCACAGAGCCTTCCTAAACACTGTCTGTAAAGAGTCAGCTAATGGTTACTCTTCCTTTACTGCAAATTCTGTTTAATTTAGAATTTCTCATCTCCTGCTCTGTTAATAGCTTGCTAGACCCTTGAAGTTACAGGGCAGGAGATGCAAACTTTGAAAGTAAGTTACATCTAATTAGAAATAAAAACATTTTGTTTTCATGCAGGCTGCGTCAGTCACAGGCAAGAGAGGTGTGGCCAGGGTTGCATGGACAGAAACAAAAGTGATTTAACTACTAAATGGCACTGAATTAAGCAGTAAAACTTCAGAGGCATGTGTCAGGGTACCTTGTGTGGTAGCACAGGCTGTACCACAAGCAGGCATCTTCAGGCAAGAGATTGGGGACATGACAAACGATTCTCCTCTTGTTCCCAGCTATTTTCACTCTGGCCCGGTAGCTCCACCCTTTTTTAGAACACGGCGCATGCGCACCAACATCATGCCGCTAATGACATCTTTGATTTCGAACGTTTTGGGGGCATGACTACAGATCAAGGGACATAGTACTAAGAATATAGTCCATATTGGTACCAATGACAAAGTCAGAGGAAAATGGAAGGTCCTAAAGGGATTTAGGGGTGATTATTTCTGATGACTTAAAGGTAGGCAGACAATGTAATAGAGCAGCAAGAAATGCTAGCAGAATGCTTGGTTGTATAGGGAGCGGTATTAGCAGTAGAAAGAGGGAAGTGTTCATGCCATTGTACAGAACACTGGTGAGACCTCACTTGGAGTATTGTACACAGTACTGGAGACCGTATCTTCAGAAGGATATTGATACCTTAGAGAGGGTTCAGAGAAGGGCTACTAAACTGGTTCATGGATTGCGGGATAAAACTTACCAGGAAAGGTTAAAGGATCTTAACATGTACAGCTTGGAGGAAAGACGAGACAGGGGGGATATGATAGAAACATTTAAATATATAAAGGGAATCAACACAGTAAAGGAGGAGACTATATTTAAAAGAAGAAAAACTACCACAACAAGAGGACATAGTCTTAAATTAGAGGGACAAAGGTTTAAAAATAATATCAGGAAGTATTACTTTACTGAGAGGGTAGTGGATGCATGGAATAGCCTTCCAGCTGAAGTGGTAGAGGTTAACACAGTAAAGGAGTTTAAGCATGCGTGGGATAGGCATAAGGCTATCCTAACTATAAGATAAGGCTAGGGACTAATGAAAGTATTTAGAAAATTGGGCAGACTAGATGGGCCGAATGGTTCTTATCTGCCGTCACATTCTATGTTTCTATGTTTCTATAAGTTCAGGGAACTAGGAAGTAAGCTAAACAAAAGAACCTCCAAGGTAATAATTTTCAGAAATATTACCTGTGCCGCGCACTACAGCAGAAAGACAGCGGGAGATTAGATGTAAATAAAGCATGAGTACTTAAGGAGCTAAATGGGGAAATAAGTGAACCTCTGTATTTAATCTATCAAGAGTCTTTTGTTTCAGTTATTGTACCGGAGGATTGGAGAAAGGCAGATGTTGTTCCTATATTTACAAAGGGTTCAAAATCCTTGCCTGGAAATTATAGACCTGTGAACTTAACTTCTGTGACTGGTAAAATATTTGAAGGGCTACTAAGGGATAATATTCATGAATTCATTGGGAAGAACTTTGTTATTAGCAATAATCAGCATGGTTTTATGAAACATAGGTAATGTCAAACTAACCTAATTGCATTCTACAAAGAACTAAGTAGAAGTATAGATCAGGGTGTTGCAGTGAATCTGATCTACTTGGATTCTGCCAAGACTTTGTTACGGTTCCTCACAATAGGTTAGTCTTCAAACTAAAAGAAATTGGTCTAGATGAATATTCTTGTTCTTTGGTAGAACATTGGCTTAAGGATAGAGTACAACAAGTTGTCACTAATGGTAAATTTTTAGGCTGGCCAAAAGTGGTAAGTTGTGTCCCTCAGGGTTCTGTTTTAGGACCGCTTCTACCTAACATATTTGTAAATGATCTTGAAATAGGCATTGAAAGCCATGTATCAGTGTTTGCAGATGACACAAAACTTTGTAAAGTAATAAAATGTGAGCAGGATATTCCTTCGCTGCAGAGGGATTAAGATAGATCGGGGGACTGGGCACTAAAATGGCAGATGAAATTTAATGTAGAGAAATGCAAAGTTATGCACCTAGGGGTCAAGAATGCACAAGCAACTTACACCCTAAATGGTAGTGAATTAGGGATAACCACACACGAGAAGGATTTGGGAATTGACAACAAATTAGGCAACAATATGCAATGTCAATCTGCAGTTGCTAAGGCCAGTAATGTTTTGTCATGTATAAATAGGGGCATAAATTCTCGGGATGAAAATATAATTTTGCCTCTTTGAATATGCTGTGCAATTTTTGGCACCTGTTCTAAAGAAGAATATCATGGCACTAGAAAAAGTGCAGAGACGAGCTACAAATTTTATCAAAGGAATGAAGCATTTTAGTTATGAAGAAAGGTAAAAAAAATTGAAATCTCTTTAGTTTGGAAAAACGGTGCCTCCGAGGGGATATGATAACATTATACAAATATATTCAGGGCCAGTACAAACCATTATCTGGAAATCTATTTATAAACAGGGCTATACATAGGACACAAGGTCACGCATTTAGGCTGGAAGGAAGGAGATTTAATCTAAGACAAAGAAAAGG